AGTAAGAGAAATAGAACCCAATTACCATATCTTAAAAGAAAATAAATATTGGTAGTATTAATTGAAAATTAAATCTATTGAAAAACATTATATAGGTTTATAGGTGTTGGTTTTTATTTTGGAAACTAGAAATGATAATAGAAGCAAATATGTCAGGTATTAATTCAGGGAAAGTAAATAAACTTTGCTGTTTAAGTTTTTTTGAGATTAAACAATAAGTACTAAATGGTTTAGGTATTATAGAAGGTGATAGCCGTATTCTAAATCTTTATAAAATTAATCATTAGGAAGTCAGATTAATGGGATGAATTTATTGGAGAAATTCGGAAATTTATGGTCTATGGATGAGAAAACTAAACTAAGTTTGAATTAAGTATATTATGTTTTATGAGAATATTTTGGAATCTAAGACGAACAAGTCTTATTGTCTATATGTTATGTCTTGTCATGTCCTTTCTTTGTGTTTAAAAACCAATAAATATACTATTAAAAATAATAATAATTTTAAATTGTTTTAAAGAAATTTGAATTCAACCCCTGTTCCATACTGGTACCCTCACCCATCATGGAACCCTTCCAACAATGGCCTCAGGGATGTGGGGCCAAGATGGGATATAGATTCCTCCCTGTCACCAGCCACTGCTGTGGGCTCTTTAGTTTGAACGTGAGGTGTTAAAGGTGTCTGTAAGCGATGAGGGCTGAACGAGCCTATAATTTGCTAAGCCCCCGATGATTGGAAGGGGGGCATGTGTTTGACAGGATCCATCCTTGGAGGAGTAAGGTAACTGGTGGGGGTAATTGCCGGCAGCTGCAGAGCTCGGTTATCTCAAGCGAGTGACAGGAGCCCATGGAGTTGGAGGGAGATAAACTTTCCAGGAGGTACCAGAGTATCCGATGTGTGGAGTTGATAAATTGCCTCCAGAGATGGGACTGTTTTTCTGTACTATGGCGACTTAACTACGGAACTGTCTATGAGGACTTATCATGTAAGAAGTTGCAGCTTTCCTTTTAAGAACTGCTAACTTACTTTCGTATTCAAATGTTTTACTGCCAACTGCTCATAGGTTGGATGATTTCTGCACTGCATACATCCTCAGCGTTTGAATGTTTTTACTCAATTAAATGAAACAAGCTTTTAAAAAATATATTTGCTGTGTGCCGAGAATTTCCTGTCTGCTGGCTAACTGCAAGCTTATCTACTGAAGCGAACCCCAAGGTCGGTTGGACCTGACAGTGTCATTCACTTTCCAAATCATATCACTGTAGCTGGGAGAGTGAGCTCACAGACAGTATCCACTGGCCTCAGGACTGAGAGGCCTAGACACTGTCTGCGGACTCTGGGAACCATGGGTAATGGTAGTTCCCCTTCTGTTGACTTCAATAGATGCTTGCTTGTTCAGCTCCCCTATGTGCCCCAGGGTGGTCTTGGCCAAGTCACAGTCTCTCAGAGCTGCTTGCATCAGACTTTTTTTTTTTTTTTTAATTATTTTTGCTATGGCTACACCATGATCAAGGAGCTGCGGTGGCTCAAGTGATTAAGACGCTGAACTGCAGGCTGTGGAAGGTCGGTAGTTCAGGAGTTCGAGACTCGGGTGCCGCATGATGGAGTGAGCTCCCATCTCTAGTTCCAGCTCCTGCCAACCTAGCAGTTCGAAAGCAAGAAATTGCAAGTAGATAAATAGGTACCACTTCGGTGGGAAGGTAACAGTGTTCCGTGCGCCTTGGTGTTTAGTCATGCCGGCCACATGACCACGGAAACATCTTTGGACAGCGCTGGCTCTTCGACTTTGAAACGGAGATGAGCACCGCAACCCTAGAGTCGGATTCGACTGGCTTTCGAGCAAGGGAACCTTTACCTTTACCTTATACCATGATCACACACTGGTGTTTTTTTTTATAGAAGCATTAATGGCAGATGTGCACTCCCAAGCACAAATGTTCATGTGACAGGAAGTCCTGATTAAGAATCTGAGGAACCAAGAGGAATCACTTTACTAATGTAAGGTTGTCAGGCAGTGTTTGGTAACTCGCAGAAGACTTGTGGGTGGCGTTGAGGAATCTGAAGAATTGACAGGAAGCATTTCACTAATGTAGGGTGCCAGGCAGTGTCTGGCAACTGGCAGGAGGCTTGTGATAGCGTTTACATTTTCCCGCTTATTGGGTCTGCCAGTATGATTCTGCTCATATGACTCTACGATTCTATTATATTTGCTTTCTGCAGGAAACATGGTGTAATACTGGTAAAAACTTCCTGCATAAAGTGTGAAGCACCTTTTGACTAAATTTCCTTGTAGTGTTGTTGTGTGGATAAAACAAGACAATCTTGTCTGTGCTGCCATAATCTCATTCGAGAAACAGTGATGGGTGTACAAATGTGATCAAGCAAATCAATTCCAAACAGAGCAGCTTTGCAGGACAATTACATTATGACGTTGCAAAGTTGGAATTCATTAACAATTGTAATTGCATTGCTTGGGGATTGAATAAGGTCATGTGGGGTTCATTAGAAACAGTACATTACATCTCCATGTCCAAGTCGGGAAGTAAAATGAGGAGAGGTAGACTGGATTCCAGCTGTTAATACTTTAAGCTCGTGAAATGGTTCACTGAGACGCTGTAAGCAATGAAAAAGGCAAGGAAGAAGGCTACAATGATAGTGAAGGAAGACTCAGTAAGAATCCCATAAGACATGGGCTAAAGCTCATTAAAAGCATATTCTGTGGTGGTGACAGCAGCAAAAAAAATATTTTCCTGCCACCATTGCATCTACACAGTGTAGGCCAGAGATGCTGCTCTGAGTGGTCAGAGGCTTGTTGGGATCTGGCTTGCAGGAGGAGGGAGCCTGCTTTGACTGTTTCTCTCAACACTTTAGAGATAAAATCTTACAGTCATACCAACTTGGACACTACACTAGCAGTGACAGAGTCAGATGATGCCAGGGTGCCATCTAGTCTAACTGTTTGGGATACTTTTGAGTTTATTCAATTTGAGGATGTGGACAGGGTCTTTGGAGGTTTGAGGCCTATCACCTGCTTGCATGACGGTTGACCTTCTGGGCTACTTAAACCTGCTAGGGGGGCCTGTCTGACTGGGTTTGAGAGGTAGTTAATGCCTCCTCGAGAGAGGGGTGGATGCCTCAGCCTAGAAACAGGATCTGGTGTGAGGCCAACCCTGGACCCCAGAATTTCAGTAAGTATTGACTAGTCTCAAATGTTCCATTCTTGAGCAAGGTGATTGAATGGGTGGTGTCTGAAAACTTCAAATGTGCCGGGATGACATGTATAGCTGGGAGCCTTTCCAGTCTGGTTTTAGGTCTGGTTATGGGACTGAAACAGCCTTGGTCAACCTTGTGCCAGGAGGGAGTACAAATCTGTTGATTCTCCTGGATCTCTAGTCTTGGTCCATCTACACTGGCTTTCCAGGCTACTCGGAGGGCAGCAACTCTTCAGGGGTGTACAGGATTAACCCACTCAGTCCAGTCCAGGAATGCGAGGGAACCCTGCACTTTCAGCACATTAAACAACAAGCCACGAGATAGTCTAGACTCTCTCTGGTCTCACAACAGTTTACCACCAGAATCTCTTTCCAAGTGTTCCCTGCCTTGCCTGAGGGAAGAGATTCAAACCCTTAGTTGGCATCTGGGACTTACACATTACAGTCAGAGTGGTAGCTCTATGTGGTCAGCATTAGACACAAGATTTAGCCTTGGAGTTCAGTTACACATCAGAAAGAATTAGAAATAAGAAGGATCTTTATTCAGTACAAAGCATAGCAAACAGACTACTAGAGGTTACAAAATAACAAAGCCTATGGGAATTTGCCCTTAATACAGCTTAAAGATTCATAGTTACTAATTGAAGTGTCCATAGTCCAAGATTGTCCAAGGTATACAATACAGTTAGATCCCAAGGGATTTTGAAGAGAAATCCCATTTTGCACAGAGTTGCAATCTCAGTCTGTTCAGAAATACAGATACACAGTAACAAAAGGGTTGCTCTTTGTTCCAAGAGTCAGCATTTCAGGTGCAATAAAACCAGCAATGGCAGGAGGAGAGAAGAGAGTAAGAGAGCTCTCATAGAGATCAACAGAATTATACCCCAATTCCAGTCATAATTAGCTGTGGCCATCAGCCAATAACAAGCGGACAGGGTGTGTGCCCAATTGATGGTTGCCATAGCTGCGTGTGGGTATTGGCTAGGAGCTTGGGGCCCCGCCTGCAGTCAGGTTACCCAAGCTCCAGCTTTCTTCATGGTGTACGTGACATGTTCCATGTAAGCTAGGAGCCTTCAAGTCTGGTTCCTAGCTTAGAGGTGTTAAGGAATGTGTGGTTATATGGCATGGCTATTAAAGCTCGGCCATTTGGTCTCACCATTTGACTTGCAACAGGAAATAAAGACACCGCATGTCTTCAGAATGTCATCACAGGAGAAGGCATGTGAATTTAGAAAGCAATATTTCTATACAAAGGGTTTTCCCCAACCAATGTTACATGAGAACTTTTAATAAGAGATGGAAGAAATTGAACCTGTGAACTTGGAGGGGGGAGCATGTATATTATTAAGCATCCATCCATCTGTCTGTAATCAGATATGTTGTCACATGCTCTGTCATACGATGGAGAAAGATCCTAATAATGTGTTGGATCCTACAGTTACATTAGAGGAAAGAGCTTGCGATGTGTGGAATCTTGCCTTACCTTCCCCTTCTCATAGGATCCCACTGTAAACCCTACTAGCATGCCAGTTCCGCCCATCCAAGAGACAGCCATGCCTAGCAGTGCCTTTTTCAGTGCTGCAGAAGGTTGCTGAAGGCAGAGGAAAGGGATTCCACTGCATGCACCTTCTGTTTGCACAGCTATGGTGTCTGATTCAGTGATTCTGGTGATAGGGTAAGAATTATGTGTTTTCAAGGTTACCTGACACGGAATGCCTTTAGCCTTGCCAATAACTATTCCTTTGTCCTTTTAAGATTATTTCTGAATTTTTCTTTCTCCACTCCAGGAAGGATTGATGCTTTCCATTTTGCCCAAGCATGTAGCTGATGAAATGCTGAAGGACATGAAGAAGGATCCAAGCCAAAAAGAGATGCAACAGTTTAACACCATGTACATGTACCGCCATGAGAATGTCAGGTAACATGCGTGGCTTCTTATGGAAGGGAGCTCTACACATGCGCTGGCACTACCAAGGGTGTTTTGTGCTTTGGCAGATTTTGCTTTATGAGAAGGCAGGATGTGAACAAGAGAGCAAAGTTCAGATGCAGAGGTTAGCAAACCCTGGAAGAGTGTTATTAGAGGGGCTGTGGCGAAGTGGGAGCTTTGCATGCTGAAGTTCACAATCTCATTCCTTAGCACCTCCCTTCAGAAGGACTGGGTTGTAGATGATGTGTATGACCTCTTCCTGAGACCCTGGAGTGCTGCTGCCAGTCAGAGTAGACAATACTGACCTTGATAGATCAAGGATCTGACTCAGTAAAAGGCAGCTTCATGTTTCACAAAATTTACAGAAGGGGAACTGTGGATAAATGGTACTGACTGGCTCAAAGTTATCAAATGAGCTTTCATAGCAGAGATGGGCCTTGAATCTATGATTCCGAACTATCTGTCTTATTTATTTATTTATTTAGAAAATGTATATGCCTCCTCTCCAGAGACCTGCTGAAGGCCGCTTACAGCTAGGATAATAATAAAATAACCATTAAAATGCATCCACTAAAAAACAAAGCCATTAAGCAACAAGCAAAGTCCTGGGTGTCTTGTCATTGCTTTAGCTTATGGATGCTGAGAGGATTATGCAAACTAAGCATATGTGCATTTTTAAAATCTTGTGTAACACATTCTCCTTCTGCTAGTTATGGGAAATTTTGCAGTGCACTGACATGCCTCTGACCTTCTCTTTTTTCGGTGTCTGAACCTTTGGGTCAGCCATTATGAGATTTTATCTGGCACTGCTCACATGTTCTCAGCCTTTTCAGCGGAATCAAAGGACCTAGAAACTCACCGTGAAAGAAGAGATCCTCAGAATGATGTTTTTACATTAGATAGCATATACCATGTTTTTTGCTAATAAAGAGTGATCAGAAGGATCTGGTTTATTTCACTGTGGTGCAGAGATTTAAGTATTCATTTAGGAATGAGAGACCTGGTAAATCCCCACTCATTTATGAAGCTCACTGGGAGAACTTGGGCCAGTGAGTCTCTTCCGACGCAGCCCAGCTTCTCAGGTTGTTGTGAAATGGGGAGTTGGGGGGGAGAAAACCATGCACACCATGAGCTCCTTGATAGAACAGTGGGATACAAATGTGATAGACTGAAAGAAGGTATAACAGTTTCTCTGCTGCATCCAGTTGGTCGCTTATTTCCTCTGCTTCTCATGGCTTTCTCCCCCTCCCCCCCAGTATCCTCTTTGCCGACATTGTTGGTTTCACACAGCTGTCATCCTCGTGCAGTGCCCAGGAACTGGTGAAGCTTCTGAATGAGCTCTTTGCTCGCTTTGATAAACTAGCACAGGTAAGTGTGTTGATTGACCCACTGCCTTGAAGTTAGGGATGCCAGGTCCCCTCGTCACTCCAGTGGGGGGATTTGGGGGGCATTCCGGGGGTGGGTGGCGGAGCCACCCGCAGCCACTCCTCTCCCTCCCCTCCTGCAGAGATTTAAAGGGGTTCAGCTGATGGGTGGGGAGCACGTGGCCCGCTGATCAGCTGGAGGGCCCTTTAAATCTTTCAGCGGGGAGGGAGAAAAGGGCTGTCAATGGCTGCAGCTCCGCTTGCAAAAAGACCCTTTAAAGGGTCTTTTTTGTGAGTGGGGTGGGGACCGCGGCATGCGGGGCTGATTTCCCAGCTGGCCAGTGGTGGATTGGAGGCCCCAGAAGCGGGGGAGCCCCTACCTGGACTTGGGGGCTGGCAACCCTACTTGAAGTTCCTCAATGATATTGCTAGGGCTGAATGTTCCCGATATTAAAAAGTAGTAGAAGCTATTTAAAATCCTTATTTTTAATGACATGCTAGATATGAATTAACTGTGGCAAATACTGAAGCAAAAATTCTCCCTGCTACCCTCGTGTGAACCTCCCATGGTTCTACAGAGGATCATTTAAATCCTATTTAAACTTATGTGATAATCCTTTTATACCAGCAACATTATTTTCCTGGGATGCATTAAAAAATTACTGAGTCCTGAAATGTCATTGTTAACTTCCTTTGTATTTGATCAAGGCCTTGTTCTGTTGGGAAATAAACACAGTTGGATTATACGTGGGTTAGTAAGATTCATGGACATAATTCAGAGAGGAAAGTGCTTGCCTTGAGACTCCAGATGATTAATAAAAGCATTTTCTGTTTCCAAGATTTTCAGCTAAGAGACTTCCGGTGCCATCCTAAACAGAGTTCTGTCCTCCTAAATCCACTGAAGTCAGTAGACTTAGACGGGTGTAACTCTACTTAGGATAGCACTGTTAATTTCAACCAACATTAAAAAAAATTATACATTGACTACATTGACTAGATTTGGAACTATCATAACAAATACCGAATCAACTTGAGTTTCTTTTGTCAAGACTATGTTCGTGTTTACTAGACTCAGAAGACTCGATATAGGCTATAAATTAGATTAAATTGAAAGAATAGCTAATAAAGGTATTGCAGGAAGATGGCCTGAGATTTCAAAAAATATTTGCAAGCATCTGGCCAGTTTGGTGTAGTGGTTAAGTGCGCGGACTCTAATCTGGGAGAACTGGGTTTTATTCCCCACTCCTCCACTTGCACCTGCTGGATGGCCTTGGGCACGCCATAGTTCTAGCACAGCTGTTCTTGAAAAAGAGCAGTTTCTGTCAGAGCTCTCTCAGCCCCACCTACCTCACAGGGTGTCTGTTGTGGGGAGGGGAAGGGAAAGGAGTTTGTAAGCCGCTCTGAGACTCCCTTGGGTAGTGAAGGGCGGGGTATAAATCCAATCTCTTCTCCTTCTCTTCATCTGACAGCTTTAATTTTACATTAGAAAATCACAGTAAAATTACAAATTGCTAGTACATCACTCCTCATAGGTTAAATAATATTTAACCTGTAGCTGCTGATGCTGTGATAAATTGATACATATAGGGTGCGTTAAATTGAGCAAACTTCAGAGGACGGCGGAAGACCGGAAGGCCTGGCGTGATCTGGTCCATGGGGTCGCGAAGAGTCGGACTCGACTGTGCGACTGAACAACAAAAGTGTGCGTTCAGACATGCCGTTTGATCTGGTGTCGTGACAGTTCAGCAAAGGATTTTATATGCACGATCACACAGTCAACATCTGCCTCCTGTCCCCAGTCGTTGGTTTCTGACTCAAAACCCCTTTAACCCGGAGTATTTTGTTACCAGGTCCCAAAGTGGTGTTTTCTCAAGGCTCTCGTTTAAAGCCGCAGTTTCCCCTGTGTGATCGTTCCTCTAGTGTCAAGCCACTTCTGATGATTTAAACCCCCTCCCTGCTTGGAAGCCCGAGGCTTCCGCTTTTTGGCTGCCTTTTTTTTTGTGCGTTGGCGGTATGCGCATAAGTGGCGCTCCGCTCCCGCATTTTTAAAACCAACATTTAAACGGTCACTAGTTTTGAGTTTGGGATCCCAAAGAGGCCAGTTTCAGGTGAAAAGTTTAAAGGGAAGTCTTCTGTCAAAGCAGTGAAATCACGGTGCTCTGCGGAACTGTCAAGCGAAATCCGTGATTTGCACTAGTGGCTCTGCGCATGTGCAAGGATAAAGTTTTTCAATTCCATGGAGGAAAAACAAAAACCTGACACACGCTCCCATGTGATCGCGATTGTCCAGAGTAAAAATAATCGCGTCAGAACTGGACCAGTTTAAACTGCTCTCAGCACGCTGACCGCACCCATAGTGGATTTGTCCTAAAAGGTGAGATTTGGTGGTGGGGAGGAGTTCATGTTGTCAAACTGTCAACAAATTATGAAATAGCATGTAACTTCCAAAATACTCCTCAGGGTTTAGCTTAATGTGGAGTTTTTACAGCAACTAAAATTTACCAAATGGTATGATGTTTCTCTCAGTTAGGGAATAGTTAGATAGAATTTGGGAAACTGCCAGATTGGCAGAACTAACTGAACTTGTCCAAATAAAGGAAGAAGATAGAAGACAAACTTTTTCATTAAGTTGGTTGCTCTTGTAAATTGTGACCATTCGTTCGTTTTGAGTGTATAGGTGTTTCACAGTACCTTAATGTGATAGATCCTTTTTGGATTTGCTTTTTAAAGATGTTTTGTAATTGTATCGCACAGCTTCCGTATTATATTCGGAAATTTTCCTTATAGAGAAATGCCCCTCATGCCAGTTGTGTTAATAACTGTAATGTATAAAATAAAATAAGAATGCATAAACATTTAAACATTAAATTTAATTAATTTGTTTAACCCGTTTGCATTCTGCCTTTGTGCCCAGTTAGGGGCCCTCAAGGGGGATAGCATTAAAATGGTCATGTGTGGGGAGTAGAGCAGTACAGCCACCGGTAGAAAGGCCCTAATCAAATTTATCTTTAGTTACTTTTCCCCCTTCATTTATACCTTGCCCCACCTTGGGAAACCTGAACAGATGGAAAGTTGGCACTAAAATGTTTAAATAAAATAAATAACTACCTAATCTTTCACCCCAGTGGGGACCCAGAGTGGCTTACATTGTTTCTCCTCTCCTCCATTTTGTGCTCAAAACAGCTCTACAAGGTGGGGTTGGGCGGAGAGTGTGTATCTGGCCCAAGGTCACCCAGCAAGCTTCCATGGCAGAATGAGGATTCAAACCAGTATCTCTTAGATCAGCGGTTCCCAACCTTTTTGGTATGGTGGACCCACAAGTCCAAATTTACTTGTTATGGTGAACCACCCAGGGCTGGCCCAAGGTTTTATGGTGCCCTCAGGAAGCGATGACCTTGGCACCCATCAAGTTCAGCCTTCCATTTTCTGCAGTCACTAACCGATTGTTTTTGAGAAACCGACAAACGTCACACAAAGAGCACAACTGCCTCCACTATGAACCCCAAGCAAGTGGCATTCCATCATACACAGCCTGTCATATGAAGGTTACATTCTAGCTCTTGACCATCCTTTCCTTCTCCTTCACTCCCTCTAATCTCCCTTAGAACATAAGAACATAAGAGACGCCAATGTTGGATCAGGCCAAAGGCCCATCCCGTCCAACACTCTGTGTCACACAGTGGCCAGAAATACCAGTGCCATCAGGAGATCCACCAGTGGGGGCAGGACATTAGAAGCCCTCCCACTGTTGACCCCCCCCCCAAGCACCAAGAAGACAGAGCATCACTCGCCCCATAGCCCCTATGTATACCTTGTGGCTAATAGCCACTGATGGACCTCTGCTCCATATGCTTATCTAATTCCCTTTTGAAGCCGTCCATGCTTGTAGCCGCCACCACTTCCTATGGCAGTGAATTCCATGTGTTAATCACTCTTTGGGTGAAGAAGTACTTCCTTTTATCCGTTCTAACCCGACCGCTCAGCAGTTTCATAAAGTGCCTTAAGATTCTAAGAAACTCACTCTAGTAACCAGCAGGACACGTTTCACTGGATCAAAGGTATATGCAGTGAAAAATATCAGCTAATGTATTGCATGGAAGAGATACTGTTCCTAGGGTCAGATATCAGTTTCTAAAATAGAAAAGAGAGCAATGGGAAGGGCAGGGGCAGGTATTAGGGAGGACTGTCCCCCAACTCACTTTCAGAGGCTTCATGACTCACAGGTAGGGAAACACTGTCCTTGATCCAAGGCCGTCACTGTAACCACTATACCACACTGTTACATTAGGTCTAACTTGGTCCAGATGTGCTCTGGGAGTTCCATGCTTTGAGCAATTCCCAGGCATGCAGGGCCAAATTTGAATCAGGAACTTGACATGTGGGGAGAGGGACTTAAGAGTTCCCCCCTGTACCATTTTCCCACCCTGAGCCAGCCCTGGGCAGCTACTGCTTGCCCTTTTGGGTGAACTTCTACATATAGTGATGGGCTACACTTAAATTTCCCCAATGCGGCACGTAGCAGCTCCCCAGAATGGGGTCTGGATAAGAAAATGGCAATGAAGGAGAAAGGGTGAAACTCTCTCTTCCTGTGCACTGCTTTTCCTATTCAAATCTGGCCCTTGCATGCTTGGGAGTTGGAACTGGGGCAGGCCCACGGACGAAGCATGGACCTGTAATGTGTGCTTAGGATCTAACTTAGCAGGGGAGTTAGAGGTACATCACAGATCATCATGCAATGACTTGGCATCCCTAAAAGGCGAGCTTTGCATTTTTTTGAAAACTCCCACTCTTGTTCAGAGGTACCACCAGCTGCGTATCAAGATTCTGGGAGACTGCTATTACTGCATCTGTGGGCTGCCGGACTACCGCGAGGACCATGCTGTCTGCTCCATCCTCATGGGCCTTGCCATGGTGGAAGCTATTTCGTAAGCATTCTCTCCATTTCAGGGGTTTATCCCTTATTCTTTGTGTTTTGCTTAATTTTTTATTGTCTATCTACAACTTGTCTACCATAAAGAAAAAATGTTTTAGACCCCCCCCCCCGGCATATTTTTTGTGATAGGTGCTCTTTTGTTGATTGCATTGGAGTGGACCCATGCAGAGGATGTGGAACAGCATAGTATAGCCCAATTTCACCAGATCTTGGAAGCTAAACAGGGTCAGTATTAGGATGGGAGACCACCAAGGAAGACACTTCAGAGGAAGGCAATGGCAAATCACCTCTGCTTAATCACTTGCCTTGAAAACCCTGTGGGGTTCCCATAAATTGCCTGCAACTTGACGGCACTTTGTACGCATGGAGCCACGCAGCCCAAGATTTCACAGTTTGATCTACTGTGCCTGAATGTTATACAGGCAAGAAAACCCTTGTAGGATTGCTGTGCTTCAAAGACCTTCAGTCAGTTCTCATGTCCTTTTTCTACTCTCCCCTGGAACAAGCACAAAACATTTTATATACACGTAGTGGTTGACTCTTCTTCTAAGGGTTAATTGTTTAAAACTCTTTCCTTAAAGCATGACTGGTTTTGAAGTGCACACTGTGGTGGGTGGTGATGTCTTGCTAATGGAGACTCCTGCATCTCTCTCGGTCTCCTATCTACCCACAGAGTTAAAACCAAACAATATGTCTTCAGCTAATTAGCCCTCCAGTTTTCTGGAACAAGAATCAATGTTGAGCTGAAGTCTCAGGGATGGAAAATTTTGGCCCTGAATTGAGCTGTTTATGGAAAATTACTGAGGGGATAGCAACAAAAGCCTAGATTGCCAGCTGCATTATACTAACAAGGAACTATAGTTCCAATTACGGAGGTGCAAACAGAGAGGGGAAGGCTGGTCCCTGGATTTCTCACTTCTGTCTTGAAGAAATTGCCACAATTTTCTTTGCCCTTCGAGAAAAGAGCATCCCTTCCCACCTGCCACCCCCAAGTCTATATACAGATGCTGGAACAAATGTGGCCAATCAGGCAACTTTGCATGCAGTAATTATTTTGTTAGTTAATTAGTCAGCTCATTAAACAGTCATTTTGTAATTTATGTCCTGCCCTTTCCCTGCTCAGGACAGCTAGCAGCATGAAAATTCAGAGGAGAAAAAGTGTGCTCCCACCTTAGCCACAGGGCTGTATTAAGCCAATGATAGAGTGTTGTGGAAGTGAGGCCCGGGAGCCAGGCAAGATCTATATTAAGGTTATTCCATGGTGTGTGGCATGCACATCTGCACACATTCACATGGAAAACAGGCATATAGAGAGGTCAAGACAGAAGAGTCTGAAAATGGGTTGTCACAATGACAGATGTGACATCATCCCTCCCCCAAATCATACTACAAGTAAAGAGTTGAAATTTAGTGTATGGCATAGTTCATGACTCCATAATTATTAAAAAAAGAGAGAGAGAAAATGGAACGTTTTTACCTCTCTTGCTTGAAAATTGACGCAGAAGCATGCTTCATAAAGAAGCCGGCTCCCTAGTTAAGTTCTAATCCAAGGCCCAGTTTAGACAAAGTGTTGGAGGACAGGAATTCAGTTCTCTGTTGACATATACAAGCCAATCTTTGACCTGGGAAAGAAGCCTTTGCAGTGGTTTTCTAGGAGGAAAAGTCAATAACAGAGGTCTCGGACATCCCCTGTTCACACTATATTAGTCCCCAGGTTGGGGAGGGAAATTTTCCAGGAACAAAACTATGCCTGTAGAACACAAGTTGTATTTGCAAGTAAGATGGAAAGTGCTAGCTGCATGTTTATTCGTATATTACTGGAGCAGTACGGGCGCTACTTCCTCAAAATTATGCAGGCTAAGCAGACCACATTATTTATTTATTTATTGAATTGAATTAAGATGGTGATCGACAGTTAGTAAGTAGCCCCAGAGAACTTTCAGTATGTATGCCCATAGATGGAGCCAGGTATTTGGCAGGTGGCAGAGAGCAACGAATAGACAGTGCTGCATAAATGGCGCAAAAATGGGGTAGGGGAGACCGTTGGAGTTGGATCTGCTGCCTCAACCATAGGCCTGGTGAAACACCTCCGTTTTGCAGGCCCTGCAGAATTGCAACAAATCCCTCAGGGCCCTGATCTTGTTTGGGAGAGTGTTCCACCAGGCTGGAGCCAGAACCGAAAAGAGTAACCATTATAGGGTAACCATACCAGCAGTTTAATGCCCTGATACCACACAGTCCTGATACGGGAATTTCCAGCTTTATCTCTTGTCCCACAAGATACTGTTATTCAAACATTATCCAAGCAACATGGGATCTAGACACGGAGTAGTAACAACTGTACTGTTCCAGTAATATGTGACTTGTCCAACAGACTAGGGGCCCATCTTTCCTAGTGTTGCCCAGCATTCTGTTAACTCTCAGGAAGAGCTTTCCCCCAGACCCACTGCATAAGTTCCTCAGGCCATACAAAGTGACTTTGAGGCAAAAAATAAGTAATATGTGTCTTTCCATATTAACTGCAGTGATCTTTCAGAAGCTGTGTCACATCCTTTAAGTCACAGAGTAGGTCCACCAAAATGTTCATGTCTATACATAACAAATAATTTTTTCTTGTCTGTCTGTGAGTGGATGGGGCAGATTATTTCTCAAGAGGTAGAATAAGCATTGTTATTGATGACCCCTTCCTCTAAAGGTATGTGCGAGAGAAGACCAAAACAGATGTGGACATGCGTGTGGGCGTACACAGTGGCACTGTCCTGGGAGGGGTGTTGGGACAGAAGCGCTGGCAGTATGATGTGTGGTCCACAGATGTGACGGTGGCTAACAAGATGGAAGCTGGTGGCATCCCAGGGTAAGTTCTTCCTTTGGCCCTAGGCATTTTCATTGTTGTCTTTCTATGTGTGTCTTGAAAATTCCGGCTGTCCCAGTGCTATAGTGACCCTATTGTTAAGTTGGTTTCAGACTGGTTTCACTGTCAGGGCTGAGGGTTGCCACCTCTTAGTGATTTTCATATATCTCATATTAATGGAATATTATCCATAAAAAGTGGAAAGCGGTGGACAGAATTTGTAAATGTCTATTTTGGAAGGCTGATTGTTTACCTGAACAAACTTCAGAAGCCAAATCTGAGTGGGGAGGAAACTGAGTGTCTGGAGGGCACAAACATCAACAGTAAGCAGAATATATTTATGTCATTTATAAATGGTAAGTTGGTTTGTCGATAAGTAATGCATAGTGTGGTCCTGCTCTGGTCCTTTCTCTCTTGCTGCCTCTTTTGTCTGGAATTTATTTAATTCATTTATATCTCCATCTTTCTCGCCAGTGGGGACTCAAAGCTGCTTAGATCATTCACCTCTCCTCCATTTTATCCTCTCAGCAACCCTGTGAGGTAGGCTAGGCTAGGCTGAGATAGTGTGATTGGCCTAAGGTGAGCTTTCATGGCATGAGTGTGGATTCGAACCTCCAGATACTCCTCCAACACTCTTTAACCACTACAGCATAATGGCCTCCAAAGAAACCTGCATGCTGCCACTTCCCACAACTCCTTCAATTCCTTTGTTATCCACTGGCACAAACCCCCTTCACCGCCTCTGTAAGTGAAATCAATATATGCTCCTCTATTCCCAATGCCTCCGCCTCCTTCCTCTCTCCTTGTGGTCTTCCATGTTTACATTTGCGACTGCAAGCTCCTTAGGGCAGGGACCTGTCTTCTACTCTATGAAATACGGTGTACATTGATGGTTCTATATAATGAGTAATCATAATAATGGGTTTGTGACAATGTTTTGAATACAGTCAAGCAGCTTCAGAAATGGAGGTGATATAAGTAGCAGAGAGTTAGCAATGTCACTCTGTTATTAAAAACATGCATGTAGAACTAGGAGCATCTGAAAAACAGTTGTGTTTGTGGCATAAGCTTTTGTGGCTTATTCCCAGTTTGTTAGATGCATGAAGCAATATGCAGTGAGTATAGCAGTCTTTAGGGCATACCTAAAACTATGGACAGAGAGCCCAGTTTCCCTTTGCAGCTGGGCACGCTTCATTCAGCCCACAGATATAAAACCAAGACAACCAAGTAGAAGCCCTTTGCACGCTATCTGTGGGCATAGACCAGTGGTGCTCAAAGGCAAAAGGAGGCTTCAGCTCTCTCAAAGGTGGATCACAAGGAGGGAGCAGGAGCAGGGGACCAATTCAGCCATTTCAGCTCTAGTTCTATCTGTTTGTCCCCAGACATGGGCTTTTACATGTTCAGATTACAGATGTTAAGGTTCGGTACCTTTATGATTTTCTTTTTTCTTTGCTTTTACGATAAACAAGCAGATTGCACAGTAAAGAACCGAACTGTAGTTTTCTAAAAGAACAAAATCAGCTTTTCCAATCCGGCAAGTCCACAGCAGCCCAATCAGATGTGGCCCATCAGATTCTGGTAGGACACAGTCATTGGCCAGCTAACCCACTTTCAAAAGTGATGGGAGAATCATTGAAGGTAGATAGCATTTATTTCAAGAAGGGACTGGAAGGATGAATGTTCCATGTACCCTGATAGGCACTTAATAGGAAGGCCACTTGGAAGGACACTCTTTTTGTGGTGCCAGGGATTATCTACACAATGATGATTCCTCTTGTTTCCTGGCGGCAGCAACAAAGTACAGATAAATTAGAGCATGCTTGGTCCTGTCAGCTCTCACAAAAGCTAGCTTCAGGGCAAGGACCAAGCAAATGAGTGAGGCACAGCCAGCCAGGAAGCAAAGGAAGGTAATAAATGTGCATACTTCTAAGCAGGTCAGAGATGGGGTTTTCCCTCTGCATGGTTCTGGGCAACAGGGCTTGACTATTAATAGCAATAGCCATGCTTAATTAAGAAGCAAGGGCACCACACATTAAAGCATTGGACAACCATAGAAACTTAGAGCTGGAAGGGACCTCAACTGGTCATCTAATCCAACCCCCGACACAACATAAGAAATGCACAACTACCTTCCCCCCAACTGCCCCAGTGATCTTCAGGGAAGGAGCTTCAGGGAAGGCCAGATTTGAGGAAATCTAGTTCCAGAATCACAACATAATGGTCTGAGAGCAAAATAATGTTGTGTATTTGTGATAGTGAGCCAGTCTGAATTTCTTCATCTTCTTCCATCAATAACTGTGTAAACAGATCAAGAGAGAGGTCCCTTAATAAGCTTATAGTCTAAATTTTGATGGGGTGGTGGGTGGGGGAAAGACAGTAAAGGCATGGGAGGGAAGGGTGAGGCAAGGGGAAACATCGATGGGTGTAATCAAGTGCGATAGTAAATACTTAAGACTTAACTACATGTATCACTATTTACGTGTTCACCCACGTCCTGTCTCCCCGTGCGCTGAGAGTTCCTTGTTGAAACTTAAATTTCTCAGGCACTGCAGCATACAGGGATAAGGAGCTCAAAGTTTCCTCCCCTCTGCTCTTTTTCTGACCTGAAATGTTCCCCGAGAACCTCTGTTTTCTGCATCGGGGAACCTTATGTGCAGCCTGTCAGTAAGGTGTATCCCATCAGTACATATCTGTTTCCCCACTGGGACAAATAGGAGAGGTTTTGTAACTGCCCCCCCATCCTATTCTGCTTGTTCTTCCACGAATACAGCGAGTACTTACTCAAATGTGTTTGTGTGTGTGTGCGTACTTGAGATTTCTTTCATTCTTTTTTTTTTTTTAGGGCACCCAAGCTTTGGAAACATCTTTTTTTGTGGTGCAGTGGGCAGCTGGGCGAAGGGGCTTCGGCGGGAGGGCGGGATAAAAATCAATCAATCAAATAAATAAATAAATAAAAAAGTCTGTGCCATGCTTGCCTTCATAGTCCTAGGAGCCAACTCCATGCCTACATGAACACCACTGTTACATTTCAGGGATGGCATCATGGGCTGTCGTTTTCTTTTGAGAGGGCACTGGACTGGGCGCAAGACTCCCTTCAGGACTCCTCCTACTAAGTACTCCACCATTGCACCCTCCTCTCCATCTGCCCCACTCCCATGTACTCTCCTTCTCTGGCTTTGATTCTAGCGGGGACAAAGGGTGCTAGAGAGAGCTATTGCACTCTTCCCTCCAACACTCTTCTGATCAACCTTACAGTGTTGGAGGCTGGCCAGGTTACCTGGTATAAGTGGGAGACCTTGTGCCCTGCAGCCCTGCTTACCTGTAGAGTGTGTGTGTGTGTGTGTGTGTGTGGGGAATGGGGCATAGGCATCGTGCTGGTGCAACAATCCGGAAGTGACATTAGTGCCGTCAGCACGTCCCCACCCCACTAAACCTTCCACTGGATTCCAGGGCTTGGGCGGTAACCTTCTGTGGGCCCCTCTGGACTGAGTTCATGCTCTGTGGAATGCAAGGGAGAGTAGGAAACCCTAACCTTTTGTGCTCCTTCTAGCTCAGCATGGCTGGGACTTCTAGGAGTGCTTCTGCCATGTTCTGCTCCCTCTTCCAGGTATCTCTCTCGTCAGAAAACAGAGGACCAGAGGCCTAATGCAAGAGAGGTGTGCTCTGCCACAAGGAAAAGGTGTATCACTCCAAGCTTCTTGCTGGGAGAGTCTCCCATTTCCTGTTGGGATGCCTGGAGGGAAGAGGAATGGAATTTTGTTGCACACTTTTTTCTAACCCTCCCCTCTCGCTGCCCACACCTTTCTGTCAGGAAATGGGACATCATTCCACTGGAATCTCTCAAGAATCTCTAGTGCAATCTCCCATTTCCTGGTGGTAGCGGGTGAGCCAAGCAGCTCTGGTTGACTGTAAGCCATCAACCAACCTTGCAATCCTGATCCTGGTTGCCAACCTGTCACCTTTCCTTTCATGGTCATCATTGACCCTGAAAGAGTTTCCATTGTGAAGAATACTAAGATGACAGAGAGACGTGTGTACCACATTTTCTGTGTTACTGGAATGAGAAACGAGTCTGGAAATAACAGTATGATAAACTGGGGAGGAAAAAAAATAAATAGTACTTCTATTTCTGAAGATGTATGGGGGAAGGAGTGTATGCGAAAGGACCTGTGAGATTGCCCTGCAGTATTCTTGAACGAAAATCACCTTAGAAAATCACCTTTTTGCCAGGATCTTACAGTGTATAGAATAAGATCAGTTAAAATGATTGAAAATATTGATGGTGCAGTGATACATCTGATACTGATGTTAATCCTGTTTGCTGGATGTGCACAAAACTCTGTGTATATTGGGCAACAGAGATAGTTTACATGACATGGAGTCCAGTTCTATGCATACTTACTGAACCCAGCTCCATTGGGTTCAATGGGACATTCTCAAGTAAGTAAGTGCAGGATTGCAGTCTAAATTAATGATAAATATCTCATTCAGTCCTCTAAAGTTCTCGTTGGTGGGATTTGAACCTAGGTCTTGTTTTCAGTCCCTAACCTGATTCTCATTAAGGCTAGTGGTTGTCAAGACATCATGTGGCAATGAGTTTCATAGCTTAAAGATGTCTTGGTTTTAAAGGTGCCGTTCCCCAAAGGAAACTTACCAATCTGCTCCTAAAAGGTATGCTAAAATGTTGAATAACAGAAGTGTTTCCCCATGCAATAATAAATTATAATGTATACAATGATTTTGAGTGTGTACCAGATCCTCCATATGCAGCCACCTGCTCAAGAAGAAACATAACAACTGCTGTGTAATCAACGTATGGTAGAATTGGATTGACTCTGGCACTGCAGGCATTTACAGTACCATGCAGGAACTCTGTTTATTTATTTAAAACATTTATCCGCCATCTTTCTGCCCTGCAAAACTCAGGCTTACAAAGTAAATAAACAACTATTATAAAAAACACATAAAAGACCACAACTCAGTTAGGACTGCTGATAAATAAAAATTAAATTAGTCAAATGCCGTGCTAAATAAAACTGTCCTAAACTGCCTCCTGGAGATCGGAAGTGAGGGGGCCTGGTGCACCTCCCTGGGGAACTTTGTTCCATAATCGTAGGGCTGCCTCCCAAAAAGCCCCTTTTCATGTGCTCACTTTCTATTCTTTGGATCTCTGAACCTCCAGAATCTTCTCCCTTAAACATCATGCCAACCAGTAACAGCTGATTGCTTTTTTTCTGTGTGTGTGTGTGTTCCTTGCAGACGTGTACACATTTCTCAGAGCACCATGGACTGCTTGAAGGGAGAGTTTGAGGTGGAGCCAGGAGATGGTGGATCACGGTGTGAATACTTGAAGGAGAAGGGGATTGTAACCTACCTTATACTAGTACCCAAGCAGCCACTCAAGAACGGGATCAATGGTGTGGTGAGTGTTCCTTCTTCCTCTCTTCTTCACAGTACCATATTTGGAAGTGAACACATATCCTGGCCTCACCACAGACCCTCCCAGAAAACTCTTGACTCACCAATACAGTGTTTGCGTCTTTTTTTGGCTGAGCATTTTCAGCTTGCATTTATACAAGCAGGAGAGTATGCCATTGTCATTTTCCCATGAATGTATTTATTTTATTTAGTCCCTAGTGGGGACCCAAAAGCATATAATGATAGGAAAAATCAACACAACAACAAATATAAGGGGTGGCGGGAAGCTTTGGATTGCTCAGCGGGTCTTCTCTCTCCACCAGCTGATCTTATGCCCAGCGCTAGGCTCCAACCCTCAGGCTAAGACCCAAAGGAGAAGGGCCCAAAGGTTTGCATCGCTCAGCATCCTCAGGCCTTCAGTACTAGGGGTGTGCAAAAAAAAAAAAAGCTGGTATTTTTCAGCTTTGGATAAATCAGAACAAAAAAATATTGGTAAATGTCGAATTTCCCCAGTCCAATACCAGTAAAATATTCAGATTGGGGAAATATTTGGTACTGCCAAAAATATTTGGGTCTGATACACCCCACCAGAGGGAAAGGAGGCATGTTAAAATGACTTCTTTGCCTCTGGTAGATTCTGCAGATTTCCTTGTCAATTTCACTCCCTGCCAGTCAGCTGTTAGTGAAATTGACAACAGAAAGCCAGGTCAGCTGGGGAAGCAAAGAGCAGGCATGAAAATATGCCTCCTTCCCTTCCTTGAGCCTCTCAGCTGCTGCAGAGAGGGGAGGAAAAGTCAGAGGAGACATGTTTAAATGCCTTTCTTTCCCTTCCCTGGCTGGGGAAGAGAAGGGCAGGGATAGAAACTTGCCTGGGTTCCTTGCCTGCTCTTTTCCAGGTGCCCTGCAGCCGCGGGGCACCTGGAGAAGTTCAGGCAGGCAACCCAGGCATATTTAAAATGCCTTTCTTTCCCTCCCCAAGATCAGGGAGGGGAAGAAAGGCATTTAAACATGTCTCCTCTGACTGGCAGGTTAAGGCTGTTAGGTGTAACTGAGTCCTTGTATTCGGTATAGCAGAATGAACCCGAAAAGAAGCCGGATAATGGCCCCGGTCACATGGAAGATTTTGGCCCGGGAGAGAGACGGATCGGGGGCACAGCAAATGGGCGCGATCTCACCGCAACATCTGGGAAGTGGCGCGCACCCGTCCCCGATCCATCCCTAAACCCCAAAAAGCCGCTGCAAAAAAGAACCTCCTACAGAGGAGGACTTACCTGAAGCACCGCAGCCAGCGTGGCCATGGGATCGTCGCCACGCCTGTTGTCCGGAGCAATCCAGGCTCCCGGCCGAACTGCGCACGCGCACACATGCGCAGTTCAGCAGCCTTGCTCTCCCTTCAGTAGCTTCCCCCCTGGCATCTGATCGTGCCAGAGAGAAACTACGCGGCGGCTCAGGGGATCTATGTGATCCCACCGCCGCATGTTTCTTTTGGTGCGGCCAAAACTTTGGCCGTACTCCCCCCCCCCGTGTGGCAGGGGCCAATATCAGCTTTTTTGGGTTCAGCTATACTGGTTGCTGAATACAGATCTCTGATCTGTATTTGGCTTATGTGATAGCCAAAAAACTTTCGGTTCATCTATTGCCAGATGCACACCCCTATTCAGGACCTGTGTGCAAAAGTGAGAAAAGCAGACTCATCAAAATGTTACCCAGCTGCTGCTCATTTAAAGAATGAACGCCCTTTCTGGGCATCCTCTTCTTGCTATTACATTGCCCCCAAATCTCCCAGGTCCCTTTCCAACAGAATGGTGGTGGTGGAAAGTGCTGTAAAGTCACAGAAAAATTATGACGACCCCGTAGGGCTTTCAAGGCAAGAGACAAACAGGGGTGGCTTGCCATTGACTGCTTCTGAGTAGCAACCCTGGACTTCCTTGGTGGTCTGCCATCCAAGTACCAAGGTTTTTAAAAAATGGCTGTTGTTTTGCTCAAAGTAAGGAAGATAAACCTGAATCTCTGCAATTATGCTTTGGACTTCCTTTTTCATATGCAGAAAAAAATCCCTTAATCCTGCCGTATCATGACAGGCCTTATACCTTTCCCCATTTTAAAGATGATTCATGCAACTGTTTACTTCTTATTTTTAATACTTGCTGAATTTTTTGTACGATTCTGTTAGTGTGTGTGTCCCCCCATCTCAATAAACCAAATCTTGGTACAGGCTGTGCCATGTGCTGAACTGGGACCTCTAGCACGGCTCTCCTCTCCCCACCCACCTCCCAGAATCCTCCATTTTCCTTTTCTTTGCTTCTGCTATTTCTCCTGCCTATTAACTTCCCTTGGGGACTAGTTATTGTCCCTGACAGTGTTGTGGTTGCTAGGTAACTGTCCCCTTCCTTTCCCCCATGCCCAGAAAACCATTGCCACCTGCAGAGCTGGCAGCTGGGGCAAAACTCCTTTTCAGCCAGTGTTTAGGCCGGCACCATATGGATCCACTGAAAATAATGGATGTTCATTTCAGTAGTGTCAAGACTGCAAGGTTGAAAGAGCTGGGTATGTTTAGCCTGGAGAAAGGAAGACTAAGGGGAGAAGTGATCGCTGTCTTCAAATATCAGGAAGGCTGTCCCCATAGAAGGTGAAACAGACTTGCTCTCTCTTGCTTCATGTGGTAGCACTAGGAAGACTGAGTGGAATTTACAAGGGAGAAGATCTGGCTGAATATTAGGAGAAATATCCGAATGAAGAGCTGTTCTAGTGTCGAAAGGGTGCCTCGTGGACTGTCCTTACTGCAGGCCTTTAATAAGAGTCTGGACACACCAGATGAACTCCAAGGTTCCCTCTATAACACCTACCTCCAGTAGAGCAGATGATTTCATTTTCACCTCTGTGGAGGTTTTCCCACACTGCCAAAGCATTCCAAGGAGGCTTTCTTTCAGTAACCATCATGAGCCCCATCCAGATCCCCAGGATTTTCCTGTTTCGAGTCAAGCTGCAGGACCAGGCTAGACCTGCAGGCCGTAGGGGCGAGAACAGTACAGCAAATCATAAAGCCCTAGGAAGAAAGACACGGGTTCTCTTCCAAAAGGAGTCAATTGATTGGCTTAGCACCAGCCAGAGAAGGAAAATACCAAGAGGATGTGATTATAAGAAGATCCACAAATCTTTGGAGGGAGAGTTACACTTGGTTTTTCCAGAAGCAAGCAAGGGAAGGATAGGCCATCATGTAGGATAGGCCATCATGTCAGAGCGACATGACTCGGGATCTAAGGAGAACTGTAAGCTGTTAAGCTAGGGAACCAGGGGTCATTTCCTGCAGGAATGAGCGGGAGCGGAGCTTCGGCAGTAAAGAGCCCAGGGGGCGGGCACATGCAACAAGCTCCACCCCCTGCTCCCAGCAGCCCTCAGTCAGAGCAAGAAGCAGCCAGGTAAATTGCAGAGCCCCCCCCCCTCCCCGGTCCAAAACAGTCCAGTGGCATTTTTAAGACCAAGTTTTATTCAGGTACAAGCTCTCCCTCCTCTGTGAGGATAGATCTGCATGTCCCCCCCCCCCAATAGCTATCAATCCAAAACAATCCAGTGGAGCCTGAGCGGTGGGCGTTGCCTCCTGACACACTTCCGGTGAGGTCAGGGGATGTGGCATATGCAAAGGAGTTAAGCTAATGAGTTATGCTAATGAGCTCCTGCACCTCTTTTTCTACGAAATAACCCCTGTAGGGAACCAATTTAGTCAGGCTACATTAGTTTACAGTATTATTTAACTCTGTTTTGCATCTGCATCTGAAATCCTTTCCCTCTTTTCTTTCCTTATACAAGTAGTTACAGGCAGTTTCTTTCCTTCCTCTGCATGTGTCATCACTAGATTGTTTAGGTGGAAAAGAACTGGTTTATATGCCTATGCCAAGTCTCACTTGAGCCAGACCATGTGTTTAGCTGAAGGAATAGTGTATGTGTGACAGAGAGAGCCAGAATTTCTGCTTTCAGCTTCAGATCGGTGTTTCAGGGGCAAATTATAGCCAAATGGTTTCAGGGAGACTGGGTCAGCAGGATCCTCCATCTCTGGTTTTCGCCTGCTTTTCTCCCCCTGAACCCCTGTGACAGTAACATAAACCAGTATCCCTTTCAACAGATTCCATACTTGCCAACTTCTCAGAATACAAAGAAGGGAGATTGGTTGGATTTCTCCTGAGAGCCCCACACTTCTCCCCTCTACTGTCTAATTAAAGAAAAAAAAATCTGGAAAACATATCCCAGGGTAAAATGTAGCCTACAAGCAAAAATGCTGTGGAGCATTTCACACATCACACAGAGGTAAAACCAGTTTTGCCACTGAGTATACACTCTATGGAGCTACCACTGATGTATGTGTTTGTGCACTCTGAATCTGATTAGGTGAACCCTGACTCACAAAAGCTTATGTTAGAATAAGTTTTGTTAGTCCAAACAGTGATTAACACACGGAATTCACTGCCACAGGAGCTGGCGGCGGCTACAAGCATGGATGGTTTCAAGAGGGAGTTGGATAAACATATGGAGAGGAGTGGCAATTAGCCACAAGGTATAGATAGGAACTCTTGGTCTGGGGCAAGTGATGCTCTGTATTCTTGGTGCTTGGGGAGGGGGCAACAGTGGGAGGGCTTCTAGTGTCCTCCTGGCCCCACTGGTGGACCTCCTGATGGCAGCTGATCCAACACTGTCTTCTCTTATGTTCTTATGTCCTTAAGACTTCTGTTATGTTTGTCATATTCACACTTTTTCTTTTTTTAGCTTTTAAAATGCCTTGGGTGCATTCCTACGGTTCTGTTACGTGAAGAGGCCTTTAGAACTTCACATGACCAAGTTTACACAGCATGGCTCCTTTGCAACTGCTTAGCGATTTGCCTGGGGGAGGGGATGAGGTTAGAGGAGGCAGCTGGTCCCAAGAAGCTTCAGACTGCTGTGCTTTGAGGCCAAACAGCAGATCCAAAACAAAGCAAAACAAAACCATCTACTTTTGCCTCCTGGTTGTACATTCTGAGTTAAGAGTCTCCCACAGGTTCTGCCTGTGAGATCTTACATGTGTTTATGTATTTATTGACATTAGTGACAGTCCGTCTCTCTTGCTGAGACTCAAGGCGGATCACATAGTGTAGGTCAAGTGCAGTCAACAGCACGGGGCATCCGGGGAACAGTGCAGTAGGGTTTAGACTCCCGAAATCTGAAAAACAAACAGAAATCTAGAACAGAGCTGAAACAAACCTAAAATGAAACACGAGCATTTAAACGTGACACATTAAATAGCGTAGAAACTACCTAGTTGGAGCATACTTACAGTGATGGGCAGCAATATAGGACACAGTTCCTATCCCCTTTGCAATGCAACTTTCTAAACCATTACAGCACTGCCCTATTTAGCCTTGCAAGGAAACCCTCTTGAATAATTCCATTTTTCATAGTTTTTGGAAAGCCAGGTGAGTGGGAGCCTTCCTGCATCTTAGCTATGTAGCTTGTCAAGGCTGGCTGTGCAGTTAAGAGGGAGCTAGCTTTGTGCCTGGCTCCGGTCCTGAGAAGGCGAAAATGACAGGGCCACAAGCAAAGCTGGGAGGTATACATTTCAAAGGGTGAATGAAGGAGATGGACTCTGTCATCGCGTATCTTTCATTCAGAGGGTGATACCTGGCATGTCAGAGGTTTGTTTTGCAAATCACCATTCTAATGACTGAAGAAGTGAAAGAGATTGTTGTGCCCAGTTTGCTGGTGCATGGGTGCATCCTCAGGGTGATGATTCGCCATATCGCACTCATCGCAGATGCAGAGGCAGTTGCGGCAGCAATGGAGCAGCCACATGGCAGATTTCCACACACTTTCTTTTCTTCAGGCCTTCTCCTGCCTGTGGCTGCCATTCCCCCTGTGCCACCAGGAGACTTTTTATTTATTTATTTTTTTAAATCAGCAATTGCTGTAGTACTTTAGCAACTACCAATTAAAAAAAACCCCACTCTGATGGTGTATGGGGGGACGGAAGGCACATGGAGTTGAGGAAAGGAAAATGGCATCGATATGGACAGACACTTCAGAAATAAACACGTTCCTATTTGCACGTGCTTGGACTGCAATCTTTACAGAAAGACTGTACCAAACCAAGTTTGGGAAAGACTGGAGAAAAGCAGGGGAAAACCTGGAAAGTGGACAGGTGGATACAATGGACTCTATGGAGAAACCCTGCTCCAGTTGGGAAGCCAAGGCAGAGCAAAACAGCAGGGTGGATGGAGCTTCTGGGTGTGTGTGCGTCTTTACACACTACATTTGCATTTCTGTCTCCTGGGAAGCAGGAATCAATGGAGTCAGTTAATAAGCCCCATTCTCTATTCAGCCGGGAATTAAAATAGCCTGTCCCAAGGACTAATCATTCAAAGCTAAAGAGGATGCTTTCTTCCTTGTTTCAATTTGTCATTTTTAAATTGGGCAGGCACTGGCTTGTGCTTCGACTCCAAAGGCTTGCTGTGTTGCATGAGTATTGTCAGCAGGCTCCTTTGGCTTCCAAGAGAACAGACAAGGGTTGTATGTTAGCATCAGTTTATGCGTTAACACATCATCATCCAGAATTCACAATTGTTTTTCATTCCTGGAGTACTGCTTGTTTTAAGCAGATTTAAGTCATCCTGGTTCCCAATGCTGCTACTATTCAACTTCCATTGAATACCAGTGATGTGTTAGGAAAAGAGTCCTGCTGGATCAGACCCATGTTCTGTCTAGTCCAGTGCCCTTTTCCAGAGAGAGGCAACTGTACAGAACATAGAAGTGTCATGATCCCTGCCTGGAGATTCTGTAATTTGTATTAGATATACAATGCAATGCAGATCACCATGTCCTTTGTAGACCTCCCTAAACTCTTAGGTAATCCTCTGAGCTCACCACCATTGGAGATACAGTGAGCAGCCAGAGTGAAAGGCCTTCATGACTCAGAGATGCCCTGCCAAGGGAGGTTCACCTAGTCAACTGTTGTCCTTTAATTTTAATGTTTTGATTTTTTCTGGTCAAATTGGTGGGATGGAAGGGCTCAGCTGGCTGGCAGGCAGATGACTATTGTATTGTCTGGGCTCTTATGATTTATTCTGTTGACCTTTTAGCTAGGGTATGGGGGTGCTTGGTCATTGTATTGTAATTTTAGAATCATTGTAATGATTTTATATTGTTCTTTGTTTTCTGTTGAGTATTCCTGGGTATCCTGCATAGAATGCAGAGGCAGGGTAAAATAAACAAATACGAAGACTACAGCTGGTGGGAAGGAGCAGAGAGCTGGGGATGAGTGTAACAGGGGAGTTACGTAATAGAGGAGGTTATAGAGCCTTGAGTTGTTGAAGGCTTTCTGGGACAAGTGGGCTCTTTGAATTTAGATGCTGAGCCTGCATTACAGATGTTATGGAGAAGGCAGTAGAAAGCATTCTCTCTTGGATAGATTTTCTTTGTCCCACTATGATGTTTCGGAATGTTTCCAGTGTGGGTCAGGGTTATCAGGAATATGCAGAGACAAGCTCAGATCTCACTGAAATGCTAAAGCTGTGTGAGGAATGTACCACTTCAGCCCTCTTCCTAAAAAACTAGCATGTCGAAGAGAAGCTTAGGCTGTAATCCTAGGCTACCTGCAGCCCTTCTCCCTAACTTCTTGTTTAGAGAGTACAGGGTATTTTTGTTTTTGCATAGAGTAATGGTTTGTGAGAGCCAGTTTGGTGTAGTGGTTAAGTGCGTGGACTTTAATCTGGGAGAACCGGGTTTGATTCCCTACTCCTCCACTTGCAGCTGCTGGATGACCTTGGGCAAGCCATAGTTCTGTCAGAGCTGTTCTTGAAAGAGCAGTTTTGGAAAGAGCTCTCTCATCCCCACCTACCTCACAAGGTATCTGTTGTGGGAAGGGGAAGGGAAAGGCGTTTGTAAGCTGCTCTGAGACTCTGAGTGGTGGGGTATAAATCCAATCTCTTCTTCCTCCGGTGAATTCCTTGCACGTAGCAATATAGATATCAGGGAGGAAGTTCTAAAAGTTTTCTTAATGTCATGTTGGTTTTCCATGGGTAAGGAATTTTTGTTAAGAAGTGGTACGGCTCAGACACCTTAGGAAGATGAAGAGGAAAACAATGGCCCCAGTCAGAATAGTGAGCACTGAGTACTCTTCTGCGTTATGAATGTGGACAAGGACGGGTTCACTATGGAAAGTATTTTTGTAGTAACAGTAAAGAGTCTTGTAAAATTGGCTTAGTAACTACTCAAGAGTAGACAATAATAATGAGCATCTCTGTGTGGAGGGTACTTTGTGGTTTCTCTTTAGGACAACGGTTCTCAAATCGTAGGGCACAAGACTCCTAGGTAGGGGCTATGAAGTTTTTTTGCAGGGAAGATAATCTTGCAACAGACAAAGCCATTTCCTTCCGAGCAGCAGAGGTGGTAGCACAAGCCTACCCAAAGCATGCTGATTTACTCTAGCACAGAGAATTGTAGAGGCGATTTAAAATGCAGCGTGGGAGTCTAGGAGGGAAGGGCAAAACCACCCGTGTGCTCTCCCCCACTAAACTTAATTACTTCTGCATTTCTGTTTTCATCCCAGTGGATGCATCTGATCATGGACTTCCTAGGGGAGAAGAACAGCCTCAGAGAAGAAATTTCAAGGGGATGGGGATGGGTGAAAGATGGGTTCAAGGCTGTACTTTTGAATCCTGCCCCCATCGTACACCTTGCCTTGCTTTGTAGGGATTTTGCAGCAGTCTAATGGGACACAAGGTATGGATTGGCCTTTGTCTCTATTTTTGTACTATTTATTTCTTTAAAACATTTTTGTGCTGCCTTTCCACCAAAATAAGGTTCCCAGGTTGGCAAACATGAAATAATTTGACCATTAAAACAGCATCTAAAATAATGCATAACATAATTCAATAAAACAATAAACACCTAAGCACACATTGAAAGTTATTGCTTTTGCCTACGAGTGTAATATCCAGGTACTCTCTGCATCCCGAAGAAAAGTTTTAAAATGAAACCAAACAAAAACCTACCTTGTTTCCACTTGGAAATGTATCGCCACTCTTACCACCCCTTGGTGAAAATTTGAATTTGCTGTCTATAGAATGTCATGGGGAGTGAGGGAGGAGGAAGAAAACAAAATCAAATCCTGTAAGTAAACATCAGTTCCACGGTTAAGCTAGACTCCTCCTTTGAGACAAAATCAGAATGGAGCCAAAGACTATAATAAGTCTAGCCCATGTAGGCCCACAGTAGGAGGGAGGAGAGAGAGACTGTACAGTTTTGATGAGGAGCCGTCCTCCCTTTGAAGCCCCCAGCCTCTCTGTTCCCATCCCAGTTTGAGAAGGTGTCACGTCTTGGCACTGATCTCTTGATGGGGCCAGCATTTGCCTTCACTTCCTTTGCCCCTTCTCTGTTTCGTGTTGCAGAAGCTGTCTGTCTCCTCATCCCACGGGAACTCGCCACAGCTGATCAACACCAAAGAATGCAACGGGAGCATTAACACCACTTGTACCACACCAGATGAAGCAGAGGACCTGGACACCCGGGTAAGAGGGGAGGGAGGGATTGGAAGGGGAGGGATGAGGTTATGGAGGGGCTGGGGGGGGGGGCTGTACAACTTATAAGAAAACGCCTGTCAAATCCCTGCACTGAAGTTACCCAAATTTTGCAGCCTGTATATATTAAAGAAAGTGAACCAATTTGCACACGTGCTTGGTTTGTATGATTTGCTAGCCCTTGGGAGGAGCAAAAAAGTATGACGGGGGCAGAAAAGCCATCTTCTTGATCACTGGCAATTTATCTCAACCTGTCCCCCTCCCCCCCCCAGTCCTCTGAGATTTCACTGGTCAGCGATCACATGTTTTAAATCTGTATTCTTAGCCATAAGGGCTAGAAACTGAGTGTTTTGTACTGAATTCTCCACCTAATACCAAACTCAATGCAATTACTTAGATTGCAGAACAAACACAGTCTGGACTGTACCATCGTTACCAATTATCATTGTGATACTAAACATTCCATCACACACCCTGGTCTGACCCTGAAAGTGACCTAGGATGAGGCAGTGCAAATGAAGGGATGGGGCTATGCTGATGGGAATCATGAGAGGGAGGGAAGGAAGGGTTGCATCAGTGCTTAGTTCTTGTGGCCCTTTCGTACATGCCCGGGGAAATGCTGATCGCCACTTTGGAGTCAGGAAGCAATTTTTCTCCAGGCCAGTTTGGCTGGAGATCCTGGAGGGGTTTTTTTTTTGTCATCTTCTGGGCATGGAACAGGGGTCACTTGGGGTTTTGGGGGAAAGTATTTGTGGATTTCCTGCCTTGTGCAGGGGGTTGAAATGAGGGGGCTGAACAGGGAATAGGGCTGGGGCTGCAGCTTTACATGCCAAAAGTCCCCAGATCGGCCTCCAGCATCTCCACTTTAGAAAACATCCGTCAGTGTGACTGATGGCTGTCGGAAAAACTGCTGTGAGGGAGGTTAAGCAAGACTAACCCTGACAGACCAATGGCCCAACATGGAATAAGGCAGCTTTGTGAGTACTTGAGTGTTAACATGGGGACAGTAAGTGCAAAATACACTGTATACTGGGCGGCCCAATCAAGGATCCTGTGGTTGTGGTAGGAGGTGGGGGTGGGCACTCGCTGGGTTTCTCCGTAGATCATACAGATATGTGCCGTATTCCCCACCCTCTCTATCCCCAGTTCCTTGCAATATACTAACCCCCTTAGAGTTGGCTAGTTGTTCATAGTAATCTATCATTTCTGGAGCACACTGTGGTATACCAAGTGGCTATAAAGTCCACACTGTCAGTTTAAAGAGGGACCCATTCATTTTCTTCCTGTTTCTTCTTGTGGACACACATGAAACATCCTTCTACATACCATTGGTTCATCTAGCTCAGTATTCTCTGCTGTGGCTGGAAGCAGACCTCCAGGGTTGTAGGCAGAGAAAGGTCTTTACTGAAAGCTGCTAGCAGAGATGGAGAAGCTGTGTGTGTGTGTGTGTGAGAGAGAATGTGCATGTAAAACCAGTGCTCTGCCATTGAGCCTCCAACCTTCCCCTTCTATGACTGCTCCCATATCCAAGCCACTCACCCCTCAAGCTTCATTCTGAACTGAAGCAGGAAATGGTTAAGTGTAGCAAATACACAGGCTAGAAGTGTGAATTTACAACACTGAAAGACCGTCAATGCTTTGTTTTCTTAGCCAGTTTGGTGTAGTGGTTAAGTGCGTGGACTCTAATCTGGGAGAACCGGGTTTGATTCCCCACTCCTCCAATTGCAAGCCATAGTTCTGGCACAGCTGTTCTTGAAAAAGAGCAGTTTCTGTCAAGAGCTCTCTCAGCCCCACCTGCCCCACAGAGTGTCTGTTGTGGGGAAGGGAAGGGCAAGGAGTTTGTAAGCCGCTCTGAGACACCTTTGGGTAGTGAAGGGCAGGGTATAAATCCAAACACCACCACCACCACCACCACCACCACTACTACTTCTTCTTCTTCGCTTAATTTCTCCATCAAACTTGAGTTGCTTAATCAAAATTACTATTTTTTCTTCCTGTACTAGTGTAGGAAGCAGCTTTGTATTTGTTGGCTGAGAGCTGTTCCCCCCCCCCACATGAAATTTTCCATTTGTCTCCCTTTCTAATCTAGGTGGTTAACCCTTCCTTTCCCAACCCTCGGAGACGCCTGCGGTTGCGGGACCTGGCAGAGAGGGTAGTGGATGCTTCGCAGAACGAACAGGAGCTGAACAAATTGCTCAACGAAGCCTTGTTGGAGAGGGAGACGGTGCAGGCGTAAGTCTCTTGGAGCCCCTTGTGCGATTCCTCAGACATCATGGGAACCAGTGTGGTTGAAGCACTTCCTGTGGAGACCGGAGTTCAAATCCCCATTCTGTCAAGAAACTTGCCCTTGGGCCTCTCTCTCTCTCTTTCTCATGCTAACTGATCTCAGAGAGGAGGACAAAAGGAAATACTTCTTTAAACAATGAGTGATTAAAATGTGGAATTCACTGCCAGAGATCAATGCAGTGATGGCAGCAGGCATAGATGGCTTTAAAAGGGGTTTAGACAGATTCATGGAGGATTGGTCTCTCAGTGACTACTAGCCACGGTAACTAAAGGGAACCTTCGTGTTCAGAGGCACTAAACCTCTGCATCCCAGTGCCAGGAGGCAACATCCGGGGAGGGCCTCAACCTCCGTGCCCTGTTGTTGAACCTCCAGAGGAACTGCTTGGCCACTGTGTGAGACGGGATGCTGGAATAGATGGACCAGTGCTCTGATCCAGCAGGGCTTTTCTTATGTTCTTAGGGGAGTTGTGAGAATAGAATGAGAAGGGAGAACACTGTATACTGCCTTGAGAGTCACGGAGGAAAGGCAAGATAAAAACGCAACTGATAGCTAGATATTTCTCCGGCAGCATTTCCCCCACTCCTGGGTATGGTCCAGCCCTTCCCTCACTGGTCTACCTGCTTTTTTAACCATACAGCTTCCCCCTCATGCCCAGCTCAAACACTCACTCCAGGCAGCTGCTGCCGGTGGGTACCCCCCTCTCCTCCTCCTGAGTTTGCCATTTTGCATGTGTTATCTGCTTCCCTCTTCAGAATGGTGAAAAGTTCCAGGAACCAAGGGTACGGGTGGGGGGTGGGGGGTTGTAGTTAGGTCCTATAGGTAAAGAGCCCATTTGAGGGTCCATCCACAGGTAGGAAACATTAACGTTCTTTTGTCAAAGACCTTTCCTATTTATTCACAATCAAGCCAGCCAAATTTAAGGTACAAGGGATGATTTGCTGCAGCCAGTGTAGGAAAGCTTAGAACCCAGAAAGCAGCAGAGATCAATTATTCTGTGTCGTCATCCCCCCCCCCCCCCCGTGCTTGCTCAAAATTGCTGCATAAATCCATCCGTCAGCATAGCCCAACCTTCATTTCAGCCACAGCTTCACTCATGATTAAAAACACACACACCCCCCAGACACTTTTTTTTTAAAAGGTGGTCTTTAAGCAAATACATTTTGAACTCCACGCTTGTGCCTTGTCAGCATGGGCAAGAATAAGAAATATTTGCAGGAATGAAGAGTAGTAGACGCCCTCTGCCATGATCCGGGCAAGTGCAGAGTCACTGTGACTCAGGTGCCCCTCTCACTGCTCCGTAGGTCATGCAGAGCTGGGCAGGCAAGGAGCTAACCACTTGGCATAAAGTGGGTTGGTGTGGTGGTTAGGAGTGTGGACTCTAATCTGGGAGAAGCAGGTTTGATTCCCCTCTCCTCCACATGCAGCTGCTGGTGTGACCTTGGGTCAGTCACAAGTTCTCTCAGAGCTGTTCTCTCAGAGCTCTCTCAGCCCCACCTACCTCACAGGCTGTCTGTTGTGGGGAGGGGAAGGAAAAGGAGATTGTAAGCCGCTCTGAGACTCCTTTGGGTAGTGAAGGGCAGGGTATAAATCCGATCTCTTCTTCTCCTCTCTTCCCCTCCCTCCCTCCATCTGTTGGGGATGGGGCCAGCTGAGGGCTGGGGAAGGCAAGCCAAGTGAGCACACCCTGGTTTCCGGCACCACTGCTGAACATGTGGTGCACCTGGGTGGTAGTAGTGGGGCTAGTAGCACTGCCCAGGCTGCCACAGCTAGTAGCACTGCCCAGGACCTGCCCTGAGTCTATTGGTGCCCCCCCCCCCCCCGGTGCCCTCAGCACTAACCCGTCTGCCTAATGCGTGGGCTGACTCTCTGTTTCTGGCAGGCTAAAGGGCAAATCCACATACCGCCTGTCTATGCGCTTCATTGACCCTGAGATGGAGACACGCTACTCTGTGGAGAAGGAGAAGCAGAGCGGGGCAGCCTTCAGCTGTTCATGCGTCGTCCTCTTCTTCACCGCCCTGGTGGAAATCTTCATTGACCCACGGTGAGCATTATGTAAATCTGTGTCACTAGGCCTCTTTCAGCCTGTGTTCACGGGAGGCAGAGCCGTCTGCTAAACAGTGATGTGCTAAGGAATGTGTGCAATATTGTTAAGTCGCTCGCTTAACAAAGTAGTCAGAGAGTGATTCAGCAAAGATTCAGCTTTATTCCACAACTCGAACACAACTCCAACACGGATCAACATCTGATAGACAGAACAGCTTTTACATTGCAGCTGTCCTGCTTTTAAACTCTCCCGGCTAATGTAGCCACTCCTACTGTACATTTACCAACCAATAAGGTTGCATACATAAGGACCAATCATGGACGTTCCCGCTCAGGGAGCTTGCTGACCAGTGATTGGTTGGTTCTTCCTGGGCTAGCAATGTGATTGGAGGGATTTGAATCCTAGCCCAGGACGAAGCTTTACATGGCAAGTCAGTTAGATGATTCATGTATTGCAATGGCAGCTATTGAATACATTACAAATATACAGTTAGGTTATTGTAAAACAAATCATTCGACTGCCTAAGAATTGAGCTGAAAGCACTAACATTTTACCCACCCATCCCCTTTTTCTCTCTTCTTTCTCTCCCCTCTCCCTTACAGGTTGGTGGCAAATTATGTGACGTTTGTTGTTGGCGAGGTTCTTCTCCTCATCCTGACCCTTTGCTCGCTGGCTGCCATTTTCCCCAGGGTAAGGGCCTTTCCCTACCGTAGCTGTCCCCAAATAAGAGCCCAGCTGTTAGCCGTTTGGAGTGATGAACCCAGATGCCTGCTCTTAAGGCAGCCCTTCAGTTGTGGCAATAGCATATTTTCCTATCTTTCATCCTATAACATTTACATCACTGGGAAACTGAGATTTTACCTTCCGTGTGCTTCTTCCACTTGTGTTCTTCAGATACAGCTGAAGAAGTGAGAAGCTACTCACGAAAGCTCATACCCTACCACAAATTTTGTTAGTCTTTTAAGTTTTGCTTAGAATACAATAGTGTTATCATTACAGTCTCCAACCTAACTGTGATGTGAACCTCAGTCAGTCTCTCTCTTTGCATCCATCTTCAATGGACTTAGAGGGGCTTAACTGCATTTAGGATGGCACAGTTAATCATCATAATAAGCCTAAATTGCAAAGTTGATAAACCAGCATTTAATGTCTCAGATTTCTCTCACCCAGCTTCCTGTTTTATTCCACCCATGGAAAGTCATTCTAAACATAAGAGTCTAGTGGTAGACTTCCATTGAGTGGCTATGGCCACTCCCTCTGTGTGCAGTCTTGTATGGATGAGGCACACAAGTGGTACAGACACCACATCTCACTGGTCACCTTTGATTTGTTCAATGTCAAGACATGGATAACTAGTGAAATGGCCTTTGTGTCTTGAATGTCTTCCTGTCTTTCAGGTTTTCCCCAAAAAGCTTGTGGCTTTTTCCGCTTGGATTGACCGGACCCGATGGGCCAGGAACACGTGGGCCATGTCTGCTATTTTCATCCTTACCATGGCAGACATTGTAGACATGGTAAGCACTATGTTAAGAACAGCAACCCTGGCATCTCTTTTCTCCATTGCCTCCTTTCTCCAGCTTTGTGGGGAAATGATAATTCAAAGGAAGTGAGCTGGAGAAAATAATTTTTAAAAATACAGTAGGATAGAAGTGCTGTTGCGTGTGTTGTGTGTTGTGGGAGGGCTTCTGGAGCTCTGGCCCCACTGGTGGGCCTCCTGATGGCACCTGGGTTTTGGCCACTGAGTGTTGGACTGGATGGGCCATTGGCCTGATCCAGCATGGCTTCTCTTCTGTTCTTATGGGGTGGTGGGACCCATTTCACACAGATTTTGCAGGATGGTGGAGCACCCGTTTGATCAGAGAATATAATGGGATGAAAGAAATTGGGCATTCACATTGTAAGCAGGCCTGTCATGCCACTTTTAATCTCTAGCAAAACTGTGGGCCAGACTACACTTGACATGCCAGTCTGTATCTTTCCCCCCCTGATACCTTGTGTAATGAAAAGAAGCATCCAAAGGCTGTAATCTGGAATGGAAGAGCAGCAGGCAGGAGAAGTTGCTTTAACCTTTGCCTTTCCTGCTATTTGTGGCTAAAAATTCTCCCTTTTTGTTGCTTTCCTAGTCTGGAATAAAGGTATGGGAAACTGTAGAGTGGGTGTGTCAAAATGTTTATTAGACAGTGGCAGAAGAGGAGGGGTTAAGCAGTCCTTCTGCCAGGTGCTCCTAACAGTAAGCTTTTATGGTTATATTCAAATGATAAGCACCAGGGGAAAGTGTCAGGGATCTCCACGTCAGATTTAATAGGGCGTTGTCTCCATGCAGTGGGTCCATTTTGAGTGAAGCAACCCCAGGGGTCTTCCCACTGCGTCTTTCTCTAAGTCCTCTTTTGTGGCATACCATGCCGCTGACGTCGATCCTGACCTCCCTTCTTCTTCTGGGTTGGCTGATAATTGTTTACAGAACTGTACAGTGCAGGGGCATTAAGCGAAATTAGCAAAAGGCCAGCTGCGCCAGATTATTTTTAGAACCTGTTAATAATTGGCCAGACCTTGAACCCTTGTCTTCCAAAGCTGATATGAAAATGCTGCCATTTCCATTCTGGGCGGCTTGAAGAAGAGGTGGGTGTGAAACAAAGGCCCTGACTTTACCCGTGTGTGTGTGAGAAGAGGCTGTCGCTTAGTGCTTCTTGTAAAAACCATGACGCAAAGATCACGTTCCACAATGTGTTTGAGCATTCCCCTCCAACAGTCAAAAAAGGGAAGGAATTACAGGCTTTTAATGAGCAGGAGAAGAATGGAGATTGCGTTTCCAGAATACACTGTTCTAATACGGTTGTTTTTAGCAAGTGAGGTGTTCCCCTCCGGCAACCCAGGATCATGTACTTAAAGGGAACCCCAGAGAGTAGGATAGGGTTAGCATGTCCGATTGGTCCTAGTTCAAATCCTCATTCAGCTGTGAAGCCGACTGGATGGTCCTGGGCCTGTCCTTGCCCCCCCAGCCTATCCTGCCCGATAAGGTTGTGGAGGGGGTAAAGCGCGAGAGGGGAGAATGCGCGTGCCACCCTGAGGCCCCTGTAGAAAGGGCAGCGTAAGAATGTGATACTTTAAAAAAGTCCATTATGTCCAGCAACCTCCTTCAAGGCGGGATCTTGTATACATTGGCCTGCAGCATGTCTGTTCCATTTATTTTGCAGTTTGTCCCAGCAAATCTAAAAAGTGGTACTGGGTGCAGACTTTTGTTATCTTTTCCAATTGTTAAAAAACAGAATAACCTTTAAAGTTATGAAAATCAACTTGAAAATGTGTGGGCCCCATTCAGCTGAAGAGCATGGGAGTGGGGGGTGGGGGTGGGGAGAGGAATGGGCGCCTTTGTGTTCTGCATGGCTCTCTCTACCCTTCCCAGGGACGAGGACAAGCAGAGTAAACTGTGCAAAAGAACCGCAGGTATGCAGAGTACAGGGAAACATTTATTCCGTCCTAATCAGTGGGCAACGTGAGAAGTTTAGTTCTTTTAAACGCAGTGATGGCAGGCCAGAAGAATTTGCCTGTGTGACACCGCACACACCCAGGGTCTTGTTTAAACTGGTGCAGTGTTCGCATGAGGAAGAGACTGGGTTGTGGCATGTTTACTTTGCATGCCTTGTGAGACTGCAGAATGAGGCAGTGGCTTGGATCCAGACCGATGTTTCTGCAGGGGCGGGGACGTCCACCTGGGGAGCTTGATTTTCCCATCTCCCCCATTCATTTGGCAGCCTGCCCCTGGAAATCCTCTTCCTGGCAGTCCCTCTCCCCCCTGGAACAGGACTCCAAGGGGACACGGTGTGGGAGGGAGGGAAGCAGGGGAGGTTGATTGGAAGTCCTTTCTCCCGCAGAAAAGGTGTGGATCCAACATGGGGTCAGTTCCAGGTTTGGGGGGGGGGCCTGGGCAGAGAGTGCTCAGGGGCCTCCTTAGGCCCACTTGGAGGCCCCCCTTCTTGGCCACCCACGTGTGTCCCTCCACTTTCCTGTGCGTCTTTTTGCCTTCTCACAAGCTCTCCCACCACCTCCCGTCACAGCTGCCCACCTTGCCTGCATGCCCTTTCCCTGATGGTGGTGGGTGCACCTAGGAGTGCCACTGCCCTGGCCACCAGCAATGCTACTGCACCACCCACAGGCCCTTCCTCAGCTGCGCTAGGTAACACAGGCAACTGGGAGCAGAGGTGACAAAGCACTCACAAGCAGGCTGTTGTGTTTCAACCGCGGACTGTACGCGCGGTCGGGTTCGCACGTGGTCATGCGAAATAGCAGAGCTTCGCTTAAAAGACAATAGCCAGCTAGGGTCCTGGAACGGACCAATCGGCCAGCCCGGATCTGAGAGTAGACCTGTGGGTGTCGGTACACTGTAAATAGCCTATCACGGGTTGTGGGGGTGTGTGCTGGGTGTGGATATAAGCAGGACTCCGGCCCTGCTTTTTGTCTTCTGTCGTGCCTTATAATAAACCATGAGCTGATTTCACTATCTACGACTTCGAACCCAATATATTTCACAGGCCATGGAAGGGTGTGAGCACAGGCCTCAGAGGAGAGGTGTGAGTAGGGAGTCAGCAGCAGCAGGGGGGGGGGGGGGGGGGGGGGGGGGGCAGAAGGCCTGGCAGCTGCCTCACCTCAGGGTATGCTGAGAACACAGCTCTTTTGATTCAGGCCGCACTGTCATACGAGGTCACTGTTGTGCTGTTTAGGGATAGTGGCTGGGGATGAGGCGTGAAATGCTTCAGCTGTGCCAAGCTATTCCAAAGGATTGATCCTGCATACAAGAGCTGAGGTAGGATTCTGCACGAGGAATGAGTCGCAGACCAGGGCCACTGGACAGGATCACGGTGATAAGTGGGTGGCCTCGTGCGTGTCTAACATCTGTTGCTCCTGGGAGGAGCTGTAGCCCAGTGGGAGAAGGTACTCTTTGCATGCTCAAGGTTCTCAGTTCAGTCCCTGGCATCTCCAGTTACAAAGCCCAGACCAGCTATCCAGAAGCTCTTGGAGAGGTCAAAGTAGGCAGTGCGGAAGCTGATGGGCTGACATGGAATAGGGTACCATCCTCTGCTCATGCTTCTGCAATGTAGGGGGGCGGGGCTAGAATGTCACTCTGCCAGGAAGCTCCCTGTTTGAATTTGGCAGTGGCCAGTTGCTATCATTCAGCCTCACCTATCTTGTAGGATGGTGGTGAGGATAAAATGGCAGGGAAATGCCTGACCTCCTTGGATGAAGGGTGTGGGGTCAGGTGTGAGATGGTGTGGGGAGAGACCAGAGGCCATGAACTACGGTACAGATGCACGAGAAGTAACATATTTCATCTGCAGTCTCCTCAATGTTCCCTCTAAGCTGTGAAGTCTTGTGAGCAAAAACTCTACTTTGTGAGCTACTGGCGTTAAAGTTGTGAGTGAGCGATTTGGTTGCTGCATAAATTGGTTTGCTCTGGAGCCCTCCTTCCTGAGCGGAGACAAAGATGTGTGAGCCGGAGGCTTAGAGGGAACTCAGCTTAGAGGGAACACTGGTCTCCATAACTGTATGCCCTTGATTCAAGTGAGTCTTCTGGCTCCTTTGGAAGCAGATGCTCCTTCCCATTGGAAGCAGGAAACTGGGGCACTCTGCCAGTTCACTCCGGATGAGCTCAGGGCCTTGTTCTCTTGTGCCTCCTCAGCTCAGCTGCCAGCAGTATTACTCCGTCGTCAACGTTACAACATTGGAGCTGCCTGTGGGGACCTGTGTGGAGAACCCCAAGTACTACAGCTACATCGCAGTGTTGGCGCTCATCGCCACCATTATGCTAGTGCAAGTCAGCCACATGGTCAAGCTTACCCTCATGCTGACGATCACTGGGGCCGTGGGGGTGGTGAACATCTACGCCTGGCGGCACATCTTTCACAAGTACGACGAGCAGAGATTCTGGGAGAAAACGTAAGCACCTTCCGCGTGGGGAGAGCCAGCAGGGAATCTCTGAGCTCAACACAGGTCTCCCTCCTGGAAGGAAAGACAGCTTCACTGAGCAGCTGGCGCCCCCTAGCGTCGATTCCTGGGTGTGGCGATGAAGCTGTATTGCCTGTGTGGATGGTCATTTTTATTTCTTATCCTTGAGAGTCCGTGTGGCGTAGTGGTTAGAATGTCAGACTAGGATATTAGAGTCCCAGTTTTGGATGCCCACACTGCTGTGGAAACTCGCTGAGTTGCCCGACAATGCACTCTCAGCCTAATCTACCTCACAGTGTGGTTGTGAGGTGGTTGGAGGAGAGGAGAATGTTTGTAAGCCACTTTGGGTCCCCTTTGTGGAGAAAGGTGGGGTATAACGGAAGGAAATGAAACACAAAATCCTTTATTTTCAAAGCGCTGCAGCACTTTATGCAGTACAAGAAGGGCTGGTCCCTGCCCCGAGGAGCTTGCAGCCTAAAATTTGACCCAAGAAGGGAACAGAGGGAGGGGAGGGAGATGGAGGCTAGGAAAGGCTGGAGAAAGGTGGACTTTGAAGGGTGACGCCCGGCTGGTGTTCTGGGAGGCAGTTCCATGCGTAGGGGTATCAGGGGAGGAAAGGGTGGAGCTGTTTGCAGAAGTGGGAGGCATTCAGGTGGCTCTGGGTGGCAGGTGAGGCAGAGTTCTGCTCAAATTCTAAATGCCACTGGAGGGCAGCTTGATGTGCCACATGTCAGGGTGGGTTGCTGTTAAAACCAACAACAATCAAAGCCTTCTCTCCCTCCCAGGAATCTGGATGGCTAGAACCAAGCTTATAATTCATCCAAATCACATGGTAGAGTGTTTCCTAGACTGTAACAATTAAGATTGCAGGTGTCGGATTTGGGCTTTTTCGGAATGATTCTTCCATGTAAAGAAAACCAGAACTGCCTGCGTCTAGAATACCAGCATATCAGAGAATAAGGCCCCCCCCCCCCCGATGTGCTCTATTTTCTACACTCACAGTTATCTCCCCCCTGCAAGGACAGTCAGAAATGTGGGGCCTACAGTTGTGCATTCCAGGAAGGGCTCTGCTGGCATGTGATTTTGCAGAACCGTTGGTTCTCTGGCCTTAATTCCGCGTCTCTCTGCAGGTCCTCCCTGGTTCCGTCCAAGTACTCCATGACAGTGATGGTGTTTATCATGATGCTGAGCTTCTATTACTTTTCACGCCATGTGAGTAATCCACTCAGGCAGGCTGTTGGGTTGGTGGTGGCCATCCAAACTGGACCCTGTTGATCTCTTCCACCTTGCAAGAAGCCTCCAGCTGAAGAAGGCGCCTTGCATTGGGGGGGAAATGCTGTTAGTGAAACCAGACCCATGGGATCCAAGCCAGCAGTTGTTTCTGTCTCTCTGATTCCCTCTCAGTGAGAAAGCAGCCAAGGGGAAGGAGAGCGGCTTGTGCTGCATTGGCTCTTGTGGAGAGTGGCTTGTGCTGTATTTGGAAGTCCTGTTAGTCTCTGGGGTGCTCCTGGACTCTTGCTCTTTCCTACTGCAACAGACAGACTAATGCGGCTACCCATCTTGGTAGTCCTGTGTCGTTATTACAGAATGGTATGAGGTTGGGGTGAAATTGCCAGAGACCAAAAGGATGCCGCGCTGTGAATTCTTTGGACAGGAACACCAGGGCTAAAGCGACAGGCAGAACAGCCGTCCTGCGGGGGATTCTTAACACGGCAGGGAAATGAGGCAGGAAGAGCCATTGCCAGGGTGCTTAGAATGTGGACTAGGATGCGGGAGACCTGGGTTGAAATTCCCACTTTGCCATGAAGCTTTCTGGGTGACCGTGGGCTGGTCACTAACTCTCAGCCTACCCGATTCACGGGTTGTTTTGATGATCAAATGGGGGAAAGGAGACTCCTGTATACCGCCCTGGGGCTCCTTAGACTGCAAGTGAGATATAAAATGTGATTGATAGGTGTGAGACCTTGGGGAGCAGCTGCCAGTCAGAGCAGACCGAACACAGGGCTGGCTGGACCAGGGGTGTGACTGAGGCAGGGTCTGACAGTGGGCCGTGACTGTGTGATTGCTCTGATGGGCTCTGTAGATGTTCAAGTGCTGCCTAGAAATACATTTGCATCACCCCTGTTCTCCCACGGCAGGTGGAGAAGTTGGCCCGGACTTTATTCTTATGGAAGATCGATGTGCATGACCAGAAGGAGCGCGTCTATGAGATGAGGCGCTGGAATGAGGCCCTCGTTGCCAACATGCTGCCAGAGCACGTGGCTCGACATTTCCTTGGCTCCAAGAAACGGGATGAGGTAATCATTGATTCATGGAGGATAGGTCTGTCAGTGGCTGCTAGGCATGGTGACTGAGGGGAACCCAGGATTCAGAACCGAAAAAGGTTAGTCAAGAATAGAAGAGGGTCAACTCTAAAAATCTAATTAGGAAACATACAAAAATATACATGTATTTATTAAACACAAATTAAAATCACAAATAAGGGCCCATTCATACCTCATATACAAATATACAATTACAAAGGCTGATGAAATAGACCTAACGCGTTTCGGCCTTCACAGTTCCCAATGAAACTGTTCCTTAAGTTGAAAGGGATATTTCATTGGGAACATTTGGCTATACAATCTCAGGAAAATGTATAGTTGACCAGAGAGAAGTACTACTGGACATGTGATGGCACTGGAGGTTTCATTTGTATTTTTGCCCAGTGGTTAAACTTTGGAACAATTGTTTTCTGGTCTTTATTTCATATTTTGTATATGTTTGATTGTATATATTTTTACATATTAGCCAATATGTAGAGGCCTATTTGCATTAGGCCTCTGAGGAAGGCCTGTGAAGGCCGAAACGCGTTAGGTCTATTTCATCAGCCTTTGTAATTGTATATTTGTATATGAGGTATGAATGGGCCCTTATTTGTGATTTTAATTTGTGTTTAATAAATACATGTATATTTTTGTATGTTTCATAATTAGATTTTTAGAGTTGGCCCTCTTCTATTCTTGACTAACCTTTTTAGGTTCTGAATGGGTTTTGGTTCAGCCCCCCCCCCCCCTTTTTTTTGTCCTGACTGAGGGGAACCTCCATGTTTAGAGTCACTAAATCTCTGAATCCCAGCACCAGGAGGCAACATCAGGAGATGTCTTCAGCCTCTATGCCCTGTTGTTGGTCCTCCAGAGGAACTGGTTGGCCACTGTGTGAGAGAGGATGCTGGACTAGGTGGACCACTGGTCTGATCCTGCAGGGCTCTTCTTCTGTTCTTATGATGGGGTGAAGAGTGGGACTTCCAAACAAGGAGCAATAGTGGGAAGGGTTTTCTTGGGGGAAATTGTTGGATAAGAACTCAGTGGAACCTCCGTGAGTAGAGGCAATTATCTCTGAGGGGTCATCCCCACCATGTAACATATCACTTTGATATTCTGCTCGTGATCTTCCCACATGTGGCTAGCAGCTGTTGAGACACAGAATGCTGGGCTTTTCGTTGGCTCTTGCAAGGCAATTCTTGTGGGTTTATGGGAGGGATTGCGCATTTCACTTAAGAACATAAGAGATGCCAATGTTGGATCAGGCCAAAGGGCCATCCAGTCCAACACTCTGTATAACACAGTGGCCAGAAATACCAGTGGCATCAGGAGGTCCACCAGTGGGGCCAGGACATTAGATGCCCTCCCACTGTTGACCCCCCCCCAAGCACCAAGATGACCGAGCATCACTTGCCCCAGAGTCCCTATCTATACCTTGTGGCTAATAGCCACTGATGGACCTCTGCTCCTGAATCCCAGATGCAATGACCATGTCTAATGGGGCTGAGATAAACAGCCTTCTCCTTGTTGTGCCTTTCCCTTAGGATGGACCATTTGGCAACAGTTAGGTCACAGGCCTTCTCTTGGGGGCAGGCCCAGTCCTCTTGAATGGCCTGCCAGAGTGGGCGCAGAGGGCACCTTCAGTGGCTGCATTCAGGGAGGCATGTGAGACAGTTCAATTTCAGAGGGCATTTGGAAGAGACTAAACTGTTTTGGCTGATCTGGCTGTGTTTCTTAACTTGGGTGCTGTTTTTATCTTATCAGTGGGCATGTCTTGCAACTTTTTGTTTCTTATTAGGCACCTTGAGTCTAAGGAGAGAAGCCAGGGCATAAATATTTTAAATAAATAAAACAGAGATAATTTGTTTATCTGCCTGGATTTATCTATCTGGATCTGCCTGTGGCTGGGAATTCCTGTGAGGAAAGCGAAAGTTAGCTTTACAGCAGGGCTTCCAGAGAATGAGTCTCGATGACTGTTGAGTGCTACCCCTGCATTCATGCTGTGTCTCCCCTTCTTTCTTTTCTCCCTCTTCCCTCTGCTCCGCAGGAGCTGTACAGCCAGTCTTACGATGAGATTGGTGTCATGTTTGCCTCTCTCCCCAACTTTGCCGACTTCTACACGGAGGAGAGCATCAACAATGGCGGGATCGAGTGCCTGCGCTTCCTCAATGAGATCATCTCAGATTTTGACGCAGTGAGTCCATCCTGTCTGCAGAAGTGGTAGAGTGGTCAGCTGGCCCTAAGTCAGCCAGAGCCTCGCCGCAGTGGCTCTTTTGCATCTTTGTAGAGAGATGTCTCTGCAGGGATCCCTAATCTTGTTGTGCCTGTGAGAACTTTATGAATGTTGAGAACAGGGAGCAACCACCACTAAAAATATGGGAACCCAATTCCAAAATGGCTGCCAAGCACTCTTCTATGATGGAGGCAGCTGTTTCCGAATAGGTGCTTCCTGGAGACACAAAGGTGATGCCTCGTGTGGTCTTCTGAAGTGCTTCCTGCTCCAGTGAGGCAAAGGAGAGCCAGGATTGGCAGTTTTTTAGCTTTAGAGAATAGACAAGTAGGGGACTCACAAGGACCTGCAGAAAGCATCTCATTTCCCCCTCTCCACTATTTCCACTTTCCTTTCCCTGAAAGTGCTTTTTGGGGAGAGGATGCAGCTTAGTGGAAGAGCCTCTGCTTTGCATGCATGCATGTTCCCATGTTCAATCCCTGGTATCTCTAGTTAAAAAGGAACAGCCAGTAGGTGATGTGAAAGACCTCTTCTGCCTGAGACCCTGGAGAGCTGCTGCCAGTCTGAGTAGAAAATACTGAACTTGATGGGCCAAATAGGCTGATTCCGTGTAAGGCAGCTTCATGTGTGTCCCTAACTTCCTTGTCACCGTCTGTCAGAGACCCAAGCCTGGTGCCCCCCCCCCCCCTCCAGGGTCACCACTCCTTCTTGCCTGAGCAGCTCCCAGCCCTGTGGGTCCTCGAGGTTAAATGCACACAAATAAAGCAGACCTTTGTAAAAAATATGTAAAGGTTTATTCAGGTTTTAAAAAGGAGATCACTATGCAATATAGTCTCTATAGCTTAGGAACAGAGATATAAAAAAGCTAACTTTTCTATGTAATACTTTTAGTACCTGGTATTAGATAGCACTCGGGGATGCGGTGGCTCAAGTGGTTAAGATGCTGAACTGCAGACCAGAAGGTCAGTAGTTAGGCAGTTCGAGACTCAAGTGCCGTGTGATGGAGTGAGGGGTCCCGTCTCTGGTCCCAGCTCCTGCCAACCTAGCAGTTCGAAAGCAAGAAATTGCAAGTAGATAAATAGGTACCGCTTCGGTGGGAAGGTAACAGCGTTCCGTGCGCCTCGGCATTTAGTCATGCTAGCCACATGACTACGGAAATGTCTTCGGACAGCGCTGGCTTTGGCTTGGAAACGGAGATGAGCACTGCCCCCTAGAGTCAGATTCGACTGGCTTTCGAGCAAGGGAAACCTTTACCTTTACTTTATTAGATGGCACACCTAACCCTATATCCATCATGATGTAGCATGACATATCAAAGTGTACCAGCATGGCACAAGCATAACGTCAGCATCACTTCCCTCTGGCCTATAGCCTTATTCTAGTTTTTTGGCTTCTGGCACCAGGTGGTTTCTCGGACCCAATCAGGAATCTCCCTTGATGGAACTTTCCAGAAGATATTAGCGTCCACTCCTAACTCCCTCCACCCATCTGATTACACAGCTGGTTTTCACGATTAACCAATTGCCACATTCTTGAATCTGGCCTTGAAAGAGATTAAAGATGGTATCTGGAGGGTCCAAACCCTGGACAGATGCAAGCCAGAATAGGCCTGCTAATAATCATGTTAACCCTTGAGGCAAATTGGGTTTTGCCTCACGCCTTCCCACCCACCAGGCAACCTACCTTTCTTTCCTCCACCACCCCCAACTTCATATTTTATTCCTTTTCTCTCCCTGGCAGCCTGTACCTGGGAAAACTATGGCCCAGTTGTGTGTTGCTAGGTTGGGCTGCAAGGCCAGGCCAAGTTTCAGTGGACTTGTGAGCAATACCTCATTTCCCCCTGTATCTCCTTCCCCACATGTGGGGGGCAAAAAAAAGCAGCAGCAGCAAATGGGCACCCATCTAATGGCATCCCCAACCTGGGCTTCTCCTCCCTTGCCTTGCTATGTAAAGGCATGCAACTTTTTACATAATTCCAGTGCAAAGTGGGGAAGGACTACTCTAGCTAGACTGTCTCAGGCTGCTGATGGTATGTCACATGCTTCCTGGAATGGGGTACGCCTACCCAGTTTTCCATCACGGGAAGGGTATCGTTGGCCAGGGAAGTATGTGGACTGGACCCACAGTGTCCCATTTGTTTCCTCAGCAGTTTCAACTGCCTTGTCTATCATACTTACCTGAACAGGCAATCCTGAATATAACCCCTTCTAAAGACAGGTTATGTGTAAAAAGACTTTTTACTACTGTACACACCTGTAGATTGTATGTGAATTTAAGCACGCCCCTTATTTTTCATGATGGCGCACTGTGGGGGGGGGGGGAATAGCCTTCCTTTTGTGTAAGAAAGGTAACCAATCAGTGGATGTCTCAGTAATGATGGGCCTGGGATGTCCCTTTGCCTCCTGATGTGCACAGCTCCTGGACGAGCCCCAGTTCCGGTGTATCACCAAGATCAAAACCATTGGCAGCACATACATGGCAGCTTCTGGGGTGACTCCAGACGTCAACACCAATGGATACAATAATGCTGTTAAGGTAAGAAAGAAAAGAGTGGCAGGGATCTGAGGGGGTGCCCGGAATGTACAGATTACATCTTTTTCGAAATATATTGCATTTGAATTCCACCTTCTTTCCACTGTGGAATTCAAGGTAGCAGACGAGGGGTTCCCAGGCGGACTCCCATCCAGGCACTGAGCAGACCAGGGTAGGTTTGCTTCAGCAAGGTGGCTGCATCATGTGACCTCTGGCTACATCCTGGGCTTCAATCAGGACTTGCTGCCAGTTTATTCCCCTGCAGGTCAAACTCAGCGTGCCCCTCTTCGGTGTCTAGCTGTTCTTTTCTCCCCCCCCCCTTTGCTGTCCTCAGAAGGAAGATCTTTCTGATAAGGAGCGCTGGCAGCACTTAGCAGATCTCGCTGACTTTGCCTTAGCCATGAAAGAGACGTTGATGAACATCAACTACCAGTCCTTCAACAACTTCATGCTGCGCATAGGCAAGTCAGACCTGTGGGTTGTGTGTGCACGTGCAAACATGTATGCGTGCTGAATTCACTGTGAGATCAAACCACTTCTGAAAGGGTGGGGAGGTCACTGGAAGTTTTGTGCATGGGGTGGAGAAAGCGGCTAGAAAGACATTATCCTCCCATTTAATTGTAGAAGTTGGGGACACTCAATGAAATTGATTAGCAATAAGTTCGGGAAAACGGACAAAAAGAAAACATTTCTGCATGCCGTGCAGGGGTCCCCAACTCGGTACCTGTGGGCATCATGGCGCCCGCTGGCACCTTTCCTGCTCACTAGGCGCTTTTAGAAAGTGGGAGGGGCCGGGTGGGTATTTCCAAAGCAGGGCATCTGATTGGCTGTGCAGACTAAAGGGCTTCTGCCTTAAGTGTCGAATAGTTACTAAGCAATGGTGTTCCCCGTAGTCATGTATGGCTGCGAGAGTTGGACTATAAGGAAGGCCGAGCGCCGAAGAATAGATTCTTTTGAACTATGGTGCTGGAGAAGACACTTGAGAGAGTCCCTTGGACTGCAAGAAGATCAAATCAGTCAGTCCTAAAAGAAATCAACCCTGACTGTTCCCTGGATGGCCAGATAATGAAACTGAAGCTCAAATACTTTGGCCACCAAATGAGAAGGGAGCACTCCCTGGAGAAGACCCTGATGCTGGGAAAGATTGAAGGTCGAAGAAGACGGGGACGGCAAAGGATGAGATGGTTAGACAGTGTCATCGATGCAACGGACATGAAATTGAGCCAACTTCAGAGGACGGCGGAAGACAGGAGGGCCTGGCGAGCTCTTGTCCATGGGGTCGCGAAGAGTCGGACTCGGCTGTGCGACTGAACAACAACAAAAAAGTTACTAAGAGGACTAGAATATAACCTCACTCCCTGACATTTGGTGACTGGCTCCAGCAGTAGCCATTTTGTGATTGTGCCCATCGCCCTGTGTCACAATTCCATAGGTGCCTGCAGGGTCAAAAAGGTTGGGGACCCCCTGGGTGTATGGGATTCACTGTGATGTAATCTGGTGATGGCCACTGGCTTAAAAAGGAAAAAATTTGTGGAGGATACATTTTTATACATGTTTTAGCCATGGTAGCTAATGAAACTTCCACGTTCAGAGGCTGTGGACCCCTGCATATCAGATGCTGTGGACAGACAATACCCTTGCCTGTGGGCTTGTTGACCAGATAAGACTTTTGGTCTGATGCAGCAGGGCTTGTCAGGCTCTTAATCATGCCCCCTACCATGCTCTTAAACTGGTTGTGAAGATGGTATATTTGAGCACTTAACTGGAACACTGCTTATTTGTGTGGCACCAACAGGCATGAACAAAGGAGGAGTGCTGGCAGGAGTCATTGGTGCCCGCAAACCTCACTACGACATTTGGGGGAACACAGTGAATGTGGCCAGCCGGATGGAGTCCACGGGAGTCATGGGAAATATACAGGTGAGGTGCACCCTCCCATCCTGTGGGGTGGGGTGGGGGGCAGCAAAAAAAAGGCTTCAGTGGATGCAAATGAACAAAAGTGAAAAGGAAGGTGGTGGCAGCAGCAAGGGAAACGTTGCACGTGAACATCAGTGCTGTACAGTTGGGGGTGTGGCGGTTAAGGACATAATCTCTTCCCCCGTCAGGTACCAGCAGGGTAGCTTGGAAACTGTGGCTGCATGTGGGGCAGGAGAAGATGGAGTTCAGGGCCTAAACAGGAAGCACTCCGATCTAGCAACCTTTTTGCAAGTAATCCAGGCCAAGGTGAGACTTGGCCCTTAGCCTGTGGCCATGTGAGCCCCATCAGAAGAACCAGCCCCGGCCTGGGACAACTTTGTGGTTTGTAACCAATGTTGTGGGCCTGTTGGGTTGAGTCCTGAGCACGGGAGAAAAGCAGGATAGAAATATTCTTAAACAGACCTTTTCCGCACCTTTTGCAGAAATGTACCTCAGGATATCGTCACCACCACCATGGGAACAAAACATAAACATGACAGATCCCCCCCACCCCGGTTTCATTCCAGGATACAGCAAGAGCTTTGTAAGGGGACCCCTCTGTGAGCCAGCCTATTAGGAAAAGAGGTGCTGCCAGGCAACAGAACAAACGGGGCTAAAGGGTGGCCACTGGTTAGAAAGTCCATCTTGCCCAGTGGTTGCAAAGGTGTATCGTCTTGCCCCCTGCAGGTGGTGGAAGAGACCCACTTGGTCCTGAAGGAATATGGTTTCCGCTTTGTGCGCCGAGGGCCCATCTATGTGAAGGGCAAAGGAGAACTGCTGACCTACTTCATGAAAGGGCGAGACAAGCAAGGCTCTTTCATCAATGGCTCCTCCGTGACTTTGCCTCACCAGGTGGTAGACAGCTCATGACGCCTCTCGGGCTCTCTGCAAGCAGGTTACAAATTGGAGCAGGTACCAAAGTGAGGATGCCCGAAAGGCAAAATGGTTTTCAGAGCTCGATAACTCCAGGTGGGAGATGGATACAAACACCGTGACCACAGACTTTTAGCTTTCTGAGAAACCAACCCACCCCCACCCCCTTTGCCTGCTCCTTTCTTCTGAAGGTCTGATATTCGTTAAGGGGCTCTTCTCAGCGTTTGCCTTCACATCTTGGTGTAGATGTGGGGAAGGGGAAAAGGGAGCTTGTCATGAGAGACTCTGGTCTTTTGCACAAGGACATGGCCTTGCGCACGTCTGGGTCTGAATGTAGGCAGGGGAGGCTGAAGTCCCAGTGCAGCATTGCTCAGGTAGGACTGCCTTGCCCAATATCCCCACTGTGCATCTATCTTTTTAGTCAAAACGAGAGGCAGGTGTTGTGGCTCTTAAGTTGTCACAGACCTAACCTTGGCATAGAGCTTATTGCTGAAATAAACTGCAAACTCAGGGTGGGTGTTAACAGCAAGCAGCTGTGCGGGAGAGGAAGCCACACAAGGGCACGCTCGGAATCTATTTTTAGTAATTCAAAGTGAGCTCACCTTTGCCACCAAATCACCATAGGTAGGGGGGGAAGAGTGCAATCTCTTTTAAGATGTCCTATTTAAAATATATTAATATATATATATATATAAAAGTATACAGATTAACTTTATATTTTTAATCGTGTCTTAATTCCAAAAGCAGGGGGCCTCATTCAGAGTGCACTTTGCACCTTTTTGCTGCTCTCACCTCTGCTCTTGCTTGAAAGGAAGAGATTTATAAGGCCTGTTTGAAGACTGTTTTTATTACTGCCTTCATCCAATTGTTATGTTGAATACACACACAAAAAATTGTAATTATTTCTCTAGTTTCTCAAATAGAATCAGTTGGATTTTAAGAAGTTATGCTGTGTCATCTTGTTATCTTTGTGGGAAGTGGCTGTGTTGTATGAGGTGGAGGTGGGGGAGGAGGTAGGATCCCTGGAGTGCAAACAATAAGGATTCAGGAATGGATTTTAGCTTGCTTTTGCACAGTGCAGCTATATGAGCCCTGGGAATTCCAGATTTCATTTGAAGGACAGGGCTCTAGCATAGAGTTATTAAAAAGGAGGTGTGCTTTACAAAAACCCTGTACATGAGTTACAGTGAACATACTTACATCCTATCAATACATGTAACCTTGCTTCTTTTCATAAGACAGTGTTAACGAGCATTCATTTTACAAATTAAACTAGGGACCAGTACCTACATGTGAGGTTTGATTTACACAGCTGTACATATGCTATGACACAAGAATTACTCAATGCAAAGATAAATAAAATGCTCACATTATTGAATGTATGTTCACTGTGACTTGTGAACAGGGCTATAGTAATGGGGGAGTGGGGAGAGAAGACACTTGTGATTAAGGGGGGCTCCTTCCTGCCAGTGGGTTGCTGATATTCTGGAGTAACCCTGGAGTAAGTGGAGCTCGATTTGATGCCATCTGATGCTAAGTGAAAACTCAGAATTGCCTACCACAGATTATGCTTTAAATGTTAAAATTCTGGGACATGTAGTCTTGGGACATGGGCTGCTGGACCATAAGGCCTTTGCTTAAAAAGGTAAAAAAGTAGACTACACAAGAGTGAGGCAGCTCTGCCCTGTAATACCAGATCTAGAACAGCTGCTGTACTCCATCCCCTTTGCTATGGTAAACTCTGTGTAGGCTCAGACTGGACAGACTGCAGGGAACACTTTATTATCAGACTGTTGGATCTGATTTGGTAATTTAACAGGGAGGTACTGCAGCTCACATCATGTTTTCAGGAAATATTTTCAAGAAATATTTCTTTTTATTATTTTCTTGCTACAAACACTAACAACACTACAAACACTACAACACTAAACTAAAATATAAGCTACACAAAGATCATACAAAATGATTGGTCATTAGCTTAGGCAAATTTTCCTCTATAGTAAATTTAATGGAATAGAGTTATTTCTTATCGCTTCCTTACAAACTGGTATTTATATGATTAAATCAGGTAGTTACAGTTTAAACAATTTAACTTTCAAGCTTATAAGATTATATTATTTCGGCTTCTTTTTATCAAAGTTCCATTGGACCTTCAGGTGTTTTGGGGCCGCCGCCCCTTTATCTGATTCGGAGTCCTCTTTTGGATTACTGCCTGCTGTACTTCACCTCTCTGTTCAGGAACACCTTGAAATCTGAGAACATAAATTGATTTTTTGATTTGGAGTCTTAAAAGCTGATCTTTGTCAGAGATCCTCTCTTTCTCTACTACCTCCAGCCTTTGTTGAATTGCTTTTGACGGCTTCAACCCTTTTCACTGCTTTTACTGTCTCCTCTGTTTTTATATTAGTCTCTTTCAGCTGTTTTTGGAGTGCTTCAAAGTTATTGTTGAGATTAGTCATCTGATCCAACAGAGGGCTCAGTGCTGTAGCCAGCATATTGGGAAGGTCAGTATTCGCTTCCGGTTTAGCAACCGGATGTGCTGATCTCGCAGTTCCAGGAGAGTGCTTCGTTCTTGTCGCCATCTTTTCTGCCCGAGAAGTCATTGTTTACAATTCAGAGAAAAATGTTAAAAGTCACTGAAAGTTCATTTATAAAGTCGCTTTAAACAGATCTGTACTTTACTTGATTCAATCTGGAATCGCCGTTGCCTCTAGCCCCTTCTGTCACTTAGAGAGTTCGTTTAAAGTTGTGGGGGGGGGGGGCAGATCGGGGCTCCAGAAGGACGCTTAACCGCAACTAGTTAGAGATAAATAGAACTCACGCTTCATTCCATGCAGACTGCAGAGGTAGGGAAAACTTTGTAGTTTCGCTTGATCACTTGTTCACTCGCCCGGTGTACACCTCTCGAAGCCATAATGGCGCCATGACGGCGGGACTTCTTGGGGCAAAGGGGAACTTCGATTCCTTGGCTGTGCCCTCGGGAGAGGCACCTCTCGCGCCCCAGGTTGGGAGTCCCCAACAAGGACTCTGATGGAGCACGCCCGCCATGCGAGTCACCGAAACCGGAAGAAATATTTCTATCTTTTTATTTAAATCCTGCTTTTCTCCCGAGAGCAACTTACAACAGGACATAACACACTATTTTGTGTTTATGTCCATAAACAAAGAATCAACGCACTACATTCTAGTCTTGGGGGCAGTCTTGGGTTTAGCAGCTGGCTCATTTGAAGGCACAGAATGCAAACTATGGGGTAAGAGCCCTTCTCTGGCGATGCCCAGGCAGAAAGGAAGGAGATGAAACACTGCTGAGATGGGGGTTCAGCTGGCAAGATGTTCAAGAAAGGCGCCACACTACAACTGTCAGGGACAGCCCTGTCCCTACTATATCTGCAGCTGGCCCCGCCAGGATCCTTGCCTCACCTAGGTGGGTCTCTGCAGTGCTTACACCTGGGCCTGCTGTTTCCATCCTGACCAAGTGACGAACAACAGAAGAGTTTCACAAGGCTTCAGAGAAGAGCTAATGAACAATCAGTGCAAAGCTAACTAAACTGGTTGGGGATCAAAGGAGCCGCAAGAAAGGAGAGCCCCCGGCCATTTCAAGACTCTCTTTGTCGCCATCTCTCTTGCTCCTGTCCACTTTGAACAAAGGCATTGCTTTTGCCTTGGCTTTTGTGAAATGTACTAAACCAAATTAAAACAGGGAAAAGTCCTAAAATGCCAAAAGATTTACCATCTTAGGTCACACTATTCCTGTCTTAGGGCTTAGGGAGAGGAAAGGCACCTTTGGTCTCAGTTGCTGGTCAAGGGGAAAGGGCTGCTGGAAGGCTGCACACACACCCTTTCCTCTCAGCAAGAGGGAGTCCAGTTTCCTGGGTTCCCTTTAAAAAAAAAATACAAAATTTTAAAAATATTTGTGTCAGTCACTCAGAGTCCTTACAGTACAGCAGGAGAAACAGCATAAAACTCTACCATGGAACTTCTTAACTTAACATAAGAACATAAGAGAAGCCAATGTTGGATCATGCCAGTGGCTCATCCAGTCCAACACTCTGTCACACAGTGGCCAGAAATACCAGGTGCCATCAGGAGGCCCAGCAGTGGGGCCAGGACACTAGAAGCCCTCCCACTGTCCCCACCACCACCAAGCACCAAGAATACAGAGCATCACCTGCCCCAGCCTGAGAGTTCCTATCTATACCTTGTGGCTAATAAATACCGTCATAGCTTCAGAATGGGAAGCCACTGCACAACATTATGCAACATTTGGAGAAACAGGTGAATTGGCAAAATTATTGGAGGCTCTGCAGTTAAGGGAAGGAACAATGAAAAAGGCAGACTTTTGAGCTCAACTGATTACTGTTTATTAATTTTAAATAAAATACGGCAATAAATGCGACAGTGTGGATAGGAGCGCTGCAAAAATCTATAGCATAAAGCTATGGCCTTCTTTCCATTTTAGTCTTCCTACCCCAATGGGAACAGTTTGTTCTTGAATACATCATTATGATTTTATGAACTGAAATATTTGATTAAAACACTGACAATGAATGTTTCATAATAAAATTTCTCCAACGTAAAGGCAGCTAACTGAGTAGGTGTACTTCAGACGGCATCTCAGTGACCCACTCGGGGGCAAGCCTTCACCCAGCCCGAATACCAGAATACCATCCCTAACCATACAGTTGTGAGCACATACCACTGGGGGGTGGGGGGAGCCTCAGCAGCCCTGCTGAAACTACTAACACTCCCCTGATGCCTGCAGAAGACATTTTGGTTCTCATGTGGGAATTTCAGCAAGCAAGAGACGGAATGTGTTACAGGAAGAGCTCAGGCACAAATGGAGCTCCTGCAGGAACCAACAGCGGCTACCTGTGGGACCTGGCTGCTAGACCTCCCCCACCCTTATTTGGACAGAGAGACTGCTTGAGCCCTCCGCCCCCGTCTGATTACTCCTAGTTTTCTTTTGACCACGTATTCATTGTGCATCCTTGAAAGTGCATGCTTGTTCGTGAGGGAAATAGATCACCGAGCCTCCCAGTGATGGCAGCAGCCAAAGAAAAGACAAGCCCTCCAGCAACACACACAGCAGAAAGGCCTTCTGGGCAGGAAGGAGCCACCACCTGAGATCTTGGTTCTCTCCACGTAAAAGACTCACACAGCACTAGCCTTGCCGGGGTCTGAAGGCACGCCTTTTGAGGAAGCAGGCAGCTCCAGCAGAACTGCCTGACTCAGGTTTTCTGTTAAGTCTGTGAAGGATCTGAAGACCTCCTGAAGAGGCTTCTCGTGGAATAAAGATTGATGACTGGCTGCCATCTCTACCTCTGAAGCTGCAGCATCTTCTGTTCGTGGAAAAGAACAAGAGTGTGTTGTGTTTGTGTGAGAGAGACAGAGGGTTACCAAATCAATGAACAAGAAACAATTTACACTCTCTTCTCCCTTTCACACGTTCCTGTAATATTTTGGCTGGACAGCCCTTTTTATTGTCCCTGAGCCACAGGGATGGGCGAGGGAGGCTATCTACTAAAATAATAAAACACATTTTCATAGATTGACAAAATGCACCCTATTCACCCTTGAATGTCTAAGAAGGAAATTTGTTTAAAAAACAGTTAACAACCCTGTCTCTCTTCCATAAAGACCAAGGACTGAACTTGTTCACTCTCAGAAAAAAATCAACAAAATTACTTGTCACACGGTATGGTGTGCACGGTCACACACACACACAGACACACACACACGCTGATCCTGTAATGCACAAGCCAGCTGGGAGCAACTGCAGGGAATAAAGGCAACCTTCTGTCAACAGGATTGCTGCCAAGTCTCAGCCAGTGCAAAAAGAGGGGCTCAGACCAATGGCTTGCTACCCACGGCTGTGTTTCAAGAGCAGGCAGAAAGTTTGTACGGAAAACTTGGGGACAGTGTAAACATGAAAGTGGCTGTTAGCAAATCTACTATCATTTTTTAAACCATTCAGGTGTCTTTTCAGCCCCACCCTGCAAGTTTGCTCACCTTTACATGCCACACTGGCTTCTGTTGGGAGGATGCACATGGGGTCTCTGTATGCTAGCTTGGCTGAGAAGGGAAAAATCTTGCCTTCTGGTTCCACACCATAGCTAAACTCCAGGAGATTGTACAGAGAATTCCCCTGCAAGGGCCCTGCGAGGAAAGCAGCAAAATGCTCCTGCAAGCAAAGAGGGGGAGAGCTGTGGCAGAGCCAGTCCAGGGTGCACATTTCCCACTCCTCAGACCTGCACAAAACTCATAACCCTTTGTAACAGGCAAAAGACTGCAGAATGTCAGAGGTCAACTTAGATTTGTGGACTGCTCTGCTTTGTCCAGAATTCCAGCCTGCCTTAATCAGTAGTTTGCCAGCCTGATCTGGCCTGGCCCACCCAACTGGTGAGCAAATGGGGGTGAGCAGCTGAGGTGCATAAAGGGAAAACTCACAGTCTTGAGCAGGAGATCTTTCGCCTGTGGTCTAAGCGAGTCAACAGACTGAGCTTCTGTGGCTGGCCAATCTGCTCTTGCGCAATTCAAAATATGCCCCGTTGGCTGGCGGCCAGGAGCATCTGCTCTTCGTTTCTAACGCCTGAAGCAGCCACATGCAGACATCTGAGCCTTTCTCGTGGAGAGCCCCAGAGTGTAGTGACTGCACTACTGGGCCTCAGGAGTACCTGTATTCTGAAAGATCATTCAACTGAAGGGATTCAGCAACTGCGTAGGCAAAAGTAGATGCAGCTGAATAAGAGATGTGCCTCGTTTTTGTGCGCACACACATGTAGACACATTCCTTTGGAGCACACTCGAGAGACATCCACTATCACACGCAGTTGGGATGTTCCTACCTGTAACTGCTCTGCCTGGAACTTCCTCCCCACGTAAGCATTCAGGTGACCAGAAAGCACGGAGAAGAAGCGTCTGATGTCCGTCTGCAAATATTCATCAGCTATTTGTTTCAGGGGGATGAAGGCCGGGACCGTGTGGCGCTGGATCTGGACAGGCTGCCGAATGTGCAGGTGCAGGTAATAGGAGTCCAGGTAAGTGCCTTCAAAAGCAGTGCTAATGCACAGACAGGCGCCTTCCCTGGTCAGTTTCCCACTGATGCCTGGGAGACAGAAAGGCATCCTTATGAGAAGATGGGTTTCCAAATTTGGCTGCTGCTCTACAAGAAGGAACATTAAACTGCAGATAGTTCCACAGTCCCTTTCGTGACAACAGCACACCACAGATTATCAAAAAATATATACTAGAGATTATCAAAAATACATAAGCAGCACAAGTGCATGAGCACAGGCCTGCTGGATCAGACCAATGGTCCATCTAGCTCAACATGCTATTTCCCATCGTGGCCACTGAAATGACCCAAGCCGCGGGGCAGGGGGGCCAAAGATGCTTCCTGCTGCTGCTCCACAGCTATTGGCAGTCAGAGGTACCCTCTCCAAGCACTGAGGTCCCATTTAGCTATCGTGGCTAACAGCTACTGACAGAATGTCAAGAGTTGGATCTTGCGTATGTGTGTGGGTGCACAATAGGGTCACGAACCACCAGGCCAGGAACAGAGCCTTCGGTGCATCAGAGGGAGGTACCTGTCAGACGAAACATCTGCAGCAGATTCTTGATGTTGTTCACCTTCCATTCCAGGGCAGCCTGTGTGCTGGCGCCTTCAGCCTGGGGAGTCTTAGCTCTTTGAGTGGAATCTCTGCCCTCGGTGAGCTACAGAGAGACAAGAAGGGGCTCAGCTCACCCTTTACTAATTGGGGTGTCTACACTCCCTGTTGAAACTAGTTCAACTGGCACTGCTTCTTCCATGGGAAGGCTGCTCCAGACACAGGGAATAGCACAGCAGAAGGAAACAGAAGGGGCAGACGACAGATGTGTGCCCACACTTGGGAGAGCGATAACAGGAGCCAGGGGAAAGAAGCAGCCCTGAGTACTGGTTAACACAATACACAAGGACTGGAAGCCTAAAGCAAAGGCAGAGATTTACAAGGCATCCAGAAGAGAAGATTGGCAGCAGAAGAAGAGGACTTTCCAAGAGGCCAGAAGAGAACGACTCAACCAGCTGCACACACAAGTCAGATACGGGCTAATGAGAAAAGTTGCTTCGCTCTTCCAAAGTGGAACATAAACAACAAGTGCTTATTGAGTGAAATGGCTCACAGATTTGACCAACCAAGGTGAAGATACAGGCTTGGATCCATAGGAGCATTTGCACAGATGAAAGGATTTCTCCCTGTGGGGTGGGATTTCCCCCCTCCACCTCTGGTCCAAAACACACCCCCCACTGTTCTTAGGGGTTGTCTGTCCCAAAGGAGCAGCAATTCGGGGGGGGGGGCATTTGGGGCTGCAATGAGAAAGTCACGTTCCGCAGGCAGAAATCCTTTCATCCACAGAAACACTCTGGTGGATCCAAGCCCCACTCTTTTTGCCTACTGAAGGGCAAGACGGAGAGAAAGGCAAGGCCAAATATCACAGTCACTTCTGGTTTTCTCAGTCAGGAGATCAGATCTCTTTACTTCCTGTTGGACTAGAACAGACTGGAATGCACAGCTCAGTAAAACACCTTAACCAGATTTCCATCGTGCTCCTCCAGCCCAGTTAAGCGAGCTCACACTTTCCTGCAGCTTTCATATGACTAATACAATCGCGTGACAGTCAAAAAGCTGTTATCATCAGCTTTCATGTGACAGGGCATCATAGACCGTTACTGCTTGTAATTACAGGCAATTACCCAACAATGGCAACCAGGCAGGACGATGACAGGCCTTTCGTGGGTTGGCTGGCACTGAAATTGCAGGCTGGCACTCAAAAGAATCCTGACTCACAACTGGCAGGGGCCGGGAGGAAAGCGCTTCCAAGCCGTCACTTCGGAGGCAGGCCCACCCATCAATCTATTACGTCCCCTCCTCAACAGGAACACGCGCGCGCCCCCACACCCCGGGCCACAAGCACAGGGCTCCCAATGGTTAATGAGTCAGGCTGCGCTGTAAGGGAAAGGCTGCACCCCACTCCTCCCAACCCGGTCTCATCACGTGCCAGCCCTCGTGCACAGAAAAACTCCTTTGTGGCTTCTAACATGGCAAGTCCCTGGGGGTCCCACTACAACCTTGCCATCCTGAGGACACATACCCCCCCCCCAGCCATTGCTCCAGCCCATCACCCAGCTGTAGGCTTTGCCTGTCTAGATTTTGCTTTAAGACAGCCTTAAGCACTGAGTGTTTTAGCAGAATGGAAGAGCCTGGGAGGGTTGGTCGGTTGTTCCCACTGTCTTTTAATTCTGTGCTATAGCACTGTTCACTGGATGTTGGATGCTGTGTGAGTACCTTGCTTTTATTCTGGGGCCCGCCTTGTTTCTCTGCAAGGCAGGTGGGCCATAAATAAAGCACATAAATAAACAGATCCTGAGAACCATGGGACAGGCAGGAAGAAGAAACTGGATAATTCAGTAACCATGGCAATGCGTTAGAGAAAACACCTTCCCAGCTGCAGTAGAGCAACAGAACAGAGGCATCAGATTATGAATCACCAGTTGCATCTCCTTCTCATATCCAACCAGGTTCTTTACTTCTACAGCTGTTTCAGATAAACATTCTCTCAGTTTTTCAGATGCAGCTACTACGGACTCTGTACTTTCAGCTTACATTTGTCTGTGTCTAATTTGCACCTGTGCACGCACCCCATCTTCCTGAACGTCCCCCTACCATGTTACTCCTGATGTATGATGCTTGATCTAGGACAGAGCATGCCCTGGGCAAAGGAGGTAATAATGTACACTTTGCACTTACCCCAGGGTGACTCATGCTCAGCTTGGCCTTCATTCTGTCTCTCTGGCGCCTCAGCTCCTGGATCCTTGCTTTCAGCCTGGCCACTTTTTCCTGATGCTGCTCCCCTTCCCCTTGTTTCAGGGCCAGTTGGTGGCTAGAAGCCTCCAGGCTTTCCAGATGGGATAAGACACCTATGGAGAAAAGGTGAACACAGAGAAGGGCAGCCGGGGTGCTTTCCATTGCAGAGAGTACAAGCGATCTATCTCTGCAACAACGTGATAAAAAACTCAAAACTTGCCATTAAAAATGGCAAGAAATGATTCCTATTTAAAGTTGCAAACAATGTGACGAATGGTTATCCATATTGACCAAACATCCCTTTGCTCCATAATGAATTTAATATAAGCACAATTTGGGAGATCACATGCCCTTACTCATAAAGATGTGATGCTGGAGTAGGAAGGTTAAATCCCGTTTCCTACTCCATGCTAAGGACCTACACTCAACCAGTGATCATGTAATTAATTCCACAGGATGCAATCCTATCCCCCATGCTATCTAGCCTCTAAATAAATCCCTTAGGACAAATCATTTGTAGTTATGGACAGGATTGGCTGTCATCAATATGCTGACACCCAGCTCTCTATCGTCTTATCCAAATCTCCTGGCGATGCAGTAGAAGTCTTGAGTCAATGCCTGACTGCTCTGGTTAAACGGTTTAACAGTAAATAAATTGAAATTGAACACTGACAAGATAAAGTGATGCTGGTTGGAACGTGGCCAGTCTGGCCTTCTGGATCCATGCCATGGTAACACTGAGGCTAGACTACTGTAATGGAGTCTATAAGTCTGCCCTCGGAGTTGGTGTAGAATGCCACAGCTTTATTAGCAGGAGCTAGGCAGCATATGCATATTACTCCCATTTCTGCACTCACTCCATTGGCTGCCCATCAGTTACCAGGTTCAGTTCAAGACACTGACTACCACATACAAAGCCCTTTGCAGCCTTGGTCCTTCGTATCTGCAGAACCACATTTCCTTCCGTGCTCTGCCACAACAGCTTTGCCCATCTGATCAGTGCCTTCTTAAGGTGTCACCCTGCAAGTGGGCAAGTTCAACAACTGCCCGTACACATCAGTTCTCTGTTATGGCACCACCTTATGGAACTGCCTGCCTGATGGGGTCAGGAAGGATCCCACTTTCTTGGTATTATGCACACTATGCAAAACTGAATTCTTCAGGAGAGCATTTTTACAAAGGTAAGCGGGCTACATTAAACTGGAATGGTTTGGGAAACTGTTTTAATAAAGGGACTGCGGACTATACTATTGTGTATAGTAAAAGCATTAGCTGTTGCCTTCCCAACGGTGGCGAATGAGGAATGGCCCTTGGAAGGGATGAGGAATGGCCCTTGGAAGTTCCGCCATAAATTGCACGGCACTGACAACGTGTGATTGGCTTGAACTATCTGCTGGACAGTGCCACCCAATGGGGAGGACTGAGGATGCCATCAACACCACTCAAGACCGTCTTGTTTACAGAAAGCACTTTATTACTGTTATTGGTATTATCATGTGATTTTACTGTTTTATCTGGTTTTATGTATGGGCTCATGCCCCCTCTAAGCTGCCCTGAGCCCACTCGTGGGGAGGGCGGGGTAAAAATGCCTAAATAAATAAATAAATAAAATTTATTACTCTACTATGAGTAATTGTAGAGTAAGGTAAAGGTAAAGGTTTCCTTGCTCGAAAGCCAGTCGAATCCAACTCTAGGGTTGCGGTGCTCATCTCCGTTTCAAATTTCCCCTTTCTGCATTGTTTAAGTTGCCATTTCTGCAATCTGGATCCTATCCCATCTGGTTGGTTGCATGATTTACGCAGTGTAATCTGCCTTGAGTTTCAGTGAGAAAGACAGACTCTAAGTAACACAAATATATAAATGGTATAGTGCAGGCCACAGTGGACCATAAAGAAAGAGCTAGGCACATTACACTGAAAGAGAATTCTAGAGAATGGAAGCAAGGACACCAAGGTGCCAGGGCCAGCTCATATGGGTGTTGTTTTTTTTGCCAACACCGACAGGCACATCTGCTTGAGTATGAAGCACAACAAAATCTCCCCAGAATGGAATTTTACAGGACTCGAGTTAGTCCCACCCATGGCATCTATATATGTTACAGTCTCTGAAACATAATAGAAAGATGCAGAAAGAAAGAAAGAAAGAAAGAAAGAAAGAAAGAAAGAAAGAAAGAAAGAAAGAAAGAAAGAAAGAAAGAAAGAAAAGTAATGGATTCTTTCAGATCCTGATGAGCCTACAGCTGAGGCATAAGTTCCTGTTCATAAATTTATCCAACTTCTTTGTGACTACCACTGTTTTAGGCAGGCTGTTCTAGGATCGTCCATTCTTAACAGACAGTAGTTTCCTGCTATTTTCAACCATGAAGATGAAAGGGATGAAAACGTCATAAGCAACACAAATGAGCAACCAATTACTCATGCCAAGTTATGATTAAACAGAAATTGCTGAAGTCTTTGTGGTTTTGGTTAATGAAAGTGCTGATTGTTCCTCAGTTATGCATATTGCACATGGCATATGCTCGCTTCCTTATTTATCAGCTCAGGTGCTCATTGCTCCAAATTTCCCCTTTCAGGGAAGAAGAGTGGAAATGTAAACTCATTAGACCCAGAAGTCACCCTGCTCCTAAGCAAAAGAGAATGTCACCTGATTTCCAACACTTGCCAACTTACCATCCCTCAAGGAAGCTGTAGATTCTCCCATTTTTCAGTTCCAGTTCCTAAGAGAGAAAGCAGAAACCACAAGCTCTCCTTAGCTGGTTCAAGATCCAGAAATACAGCTTCTTGGGCTCCTGAAAAATGATAAACTGAGAAAAAGGAATGCGCAAGGAACCAGTCTAATGTATTGCAGCACAAACTTTTGCAAGTCAGTTTGACTGAGGCAAGTGTCACATTCAGTGGCCAGAGAAAATTATACCCAAAATAACACACATTAATAGTGTGAGGGCTGTGCGGAGAAATTACGGAGGGGTCAGAAGGCCAAGAGCAAGGTAAGTGGCATATTAAAAAATACCAATGAAAACAATGTCAAGTTATAACAGTAAACCACTCTCAACTGTTGATGAATTGGCAGAGTCTCATGACTCCAAATAACATATATAACTAAGGAGGAACAATGGCTTTTTGTGGTGTGCTAACTATCTCCCACTACTTATTGCATCCAGGTTGGACAGCATCAGATATGAATCCCAACTCACTAAGTTCATCTTAGAGACTCCCTCTGAGTTTTTTTACTGGCCCTTTATTACTATTGTTGGAAGGTAAGGGAGGTTAAAAAAAACCTCCCCAGCTGGTCTGAATGTTCCCAGTTTTAATGGTTGGTTGTGTGAATTTGTTCTTCTGGACAGACTGTCAAGTTGGCAAAAGGAAATGTCAGAAGGATATTAGTAATAAAGACAATCCAGAAGTCTCTGCCATTAACTGAGCGGGTAGCCTTTGACAAGCCACTATTTCTTAACATTACCCCCACGCTACAACATAGCTACAGCACAGACCCATTTTACAAGGCTGTGGTAAAGTATACCCAGAGTTATAGGGGCTTGGTGTTGTTGACCGCTGCTGAAACTGAACAGGCACCTGGCAGGCATCCGCCCCTGCTTATACTCGGCCGGCTGGCCTGACACAGGGGCCTAGAGGGTTGGGCTAGGCCTTGGGTTGCTCATCTCCAGGTGGTGGCTGGAGATCTCCCGCTATTACCACTGATCTTCAGGTGACCAGGCTCCCCTCAAAATCTATCAGCCAAGCTTACCTCGCAGGGTAATTGCTGTAAGGACGGAGAACAATGCGATAAGCGACTTTGGGTTCCGACTGGGAAGAAAAGCGGGATATAAATAAAACACAAACGATACATAAACTCAGCCTAGGTCCAGGAGCGGGGGCTCCGAAGAGGTCCTGGCACCGGCAGCCTAAATAGCCGACCTGTTCCTCGACTCGCCAGAAACAAAAACCAACCTGTCTTCCTGCGCGCGCTCAAAACTCCCGCCGCCCTCCTAAAAACGTCATCAGCAGCGGCCCACACCATAAGCACCGTTTCCCGACACACCTCGCGCTCTTCAACGAATCCTCTCTTCGTAAGCTCCAGGAGGAATCCAGACACCAAACATTTTTTTAAAAATCGTTTATGGCCAGAAATGGTGCTTCGCGCAACAAAATATATTTCTACATATCTGTGGAATGGTTTGATTTATTCTTCCGTACAGCAAGATGGCTGCCCTCATTGTTTTACCCTCCGCACGGTAAGATGACAATGCCCTTTCGCCGGGGAGGACTCCGCTCCCGAGTATAGCGCCGCACAAGGCCGCGACCACTTTCCCAGCGTGCCCCGTGTCTTCCGTACGGCAAGATGGCGGCGCGCGCTC